GGGGGGCTACTTCCAACTCAGTGGAGGAGATAAGCAATATTGCCGCATCTTCGAGGCGTGGCGCAGCGTGGCTCGGGGCAATGCTTCATCGCGTCTTCATCGAGCCATGTGGATGAAGGGGGGAAAGGGATGGGGGAAGCAAACTGACAGATGTGTGGGCGGCCGAGCTGATGCAGCCGGACCAATTTTTCCCTCGTTTCCAGCACAGGAAGGATTTGGCCGAACGAGCAGGCGGCACAACCACAACATCATCACAGCATGAACGTAACAGTTACTCCGTCAGATGAGGTTTTAAGCATCTTTGGGCGCTCACTTTTTAGTGAGTCAAAATCAGCTGGCGTTGGCGGATTCGCACGCAGGTTCCCCTCTCCCTCCCCGCCGCCGACGCCGCCGCAGCCGCGCTGGCACTGGCACAGCCATCCCTTTCAGTTGGCTTATTCAAAAGGCTCCCCGCTCTGTGGGATTGCTATCGGCTTAATAAGGCGAGTGCGTCTGGTCTCGGAAACTTACACTGCGGCGAAAATCCTCCGCGGCTCCAGTCTCCTCCAATCGGACAGAGTTGTCCACTCTCTCGCTCTCGCTCCTCCGCCTCCTCGCGTGAGGCTCGCAGCCTTAAAGAGGGACGGGGCAATTATAACCCAAGCGGCTCAACGCGGCGTGGCGCGGGGCGGAGCGGCGAGGACGAATTTCCGCCCTCCGCCTGCTACGACTCAATGGTACTCATGTTCTGCTCGGTGGGTTTCCTTATCTTATATTTTGATTAACTTTACCTTTTTTCCCCCCTTCGCTTATGACACTTCAGGTATTACCGAGGGTAATACCCATGCCGAGACGCTCGAGTGAGTGAGTAAAAGCTGCGCGCGGTGGTCGGCCTTATAACGAGATTGACCCCGAAATACCCTCAAAGTCAAGCCGATCCATTGTTTAGAAAACAAAAATAGAAAGAAAAAAACACATCAGCACGGGAGAATGAATGCCAAATGGGAGCCAGTCACCGTGGAAATTTAATATCTCCTCTTTCGTCTTATTTCGGCGGCTTTCTTCCCAGTTTTAGGTGTCCGGGATTCGGGGGCCCCTCTCTCCCCTCATCCGTATCACGTAATCAGTCAAAGTTAAAGTTGATCTTGTGCCATCTTATTGTTTTCTCTCTCTTCTGTCCACCGCGCTCCCTCCGAATTACCGGGGGGCTCGCTTTCAAGCGATAGCTTCCTTCAGTTGAAAAGAAATGCGTCGCAGAAAAAAGAAAGAAATAATAACGCGCGGGCCTGAAGACAAGACCACGTCTGTAACTCCACTCCATCGTCAGCTGCCAGCTGCGGCACCAGCTATCAGCAGAGGCTCCAAAAAGTTTTATTGTTTTATGTTTTGATTCGCGGAGAAAGAAATGGTGAAGAAGAAGCGAGGAACTCGCCATCATCAAGGGGAGACGGGGGATTAATCAAATTCGGGCAAGTTTGTAAATCCCGAGCTGATGTCAACCATCTAGTAGTGCGTGTGCACCGAGTGAGCAGCACTATAAGAGGTCGATGAATCTGACGGACAAATTGCCTCTTCTACTAATTTGATGACATTAAACTACTTCCTGCAGGAAGCTGTCAGCTGTCCACCGCCGTACGACAGGAAATACGAACACCCTTCCTGTTCACCCTCGTGCAACCACGCGCACGCACACGTCCAGAGCTTCGCGCAAATCCTGTAAAACATGACTTACGCTACCTTTTATGTCCGTTGCACTCCAGTTTCCGTCGCGCCCGCCGCAGCACCGCACGGGCGGCGTTTTTGTTTTTTCTTCCCCTTTTTTATCGATGCTTCCGAGCGAGGTGTTGCGCGGTGCGCCTGCGGCTGGCGAGGGTGTATGGAGGGGGGGGGGGAGGGTGCGCAGGGAGGCAACGCGCTATTGGACGGCCGAGGCTGCAGACTGTGGCAGCGTCGCCTCAAAGCCGCGAGCAAAATTATTAATCCAGATCAAAGCCCGCCCGTTCCGTCCGTGGCGTACCCCTCCCGGCCGCGCCCCGCCGCGCCCCGCAGAAGTGCAGCCGCGAGCAGCCGAGCAGCCGGCGGCGGGCGCGGACATTAGCCGAGGAGACCTTAGCGGAACACACCCATGCCTTATGCAACACCCGTCCAGCGTAAATATTTTGTGTGCGGCGGAGGGGCAGTGGGGCGGGGTGAGGTGGGGCGGGGCGGGGCGGGGCGCGTATGGAGGGATGGGCACTACCTCAGCCCGCAGCTGGGAAGAGGGTGGAGGGCACATTGCGGCCGAGTAGTGTGGGTGCGGAGGCCCATATCACGGAGGATCCTTCGAAGACGCTACGAGGTTACTATTGATTATTTTAGTGTTTTTCTTTTTCAGCGGTGGACGGCGGAAGGCGAGGGGTGCGGCAGTTCGGTGCCAATGAGAGTTCACGGAGGAAAATAAAGGCGGCGGAGTGCGCGCCTGATGCAGCGACAACTCCTCAGAGTTTAAAAGTGAAACTGACAAAAAGGTAAACATAACTTTTTCTTTTTCTCTGGGCAAGTGTGCAAATATTTGCATACTCTTGGATTTTTGTGTGCCCAACGAGATAGCTGAAATAAAATGGTTTAACTTTCTTTCTTTCACATTTCTTGCCTTATTTTAGCGACATTGGCGAGGCAAGTGCGACGCGACGAGGCGAGTGTGCCGTGCGGGGGCAGGGTCCGGGCCGGGCCCGGGCAGGGCGGCAGCGGGTGGTGGTTTTGCCCGTTGGCTCGTGCTTTTACTTAACGCTTGCCGGGCTGCGCCTTGAGGCCGGGCGGCCCAAAGGCAGCAGGCGCGAGGAGGCGCGCGGAGAAACTTTTCCCATTCAGTCGGTCTTTGGCACATGCTGCGGCCCCCCGCTGGTGCGGCCCGGGCCGCGACCATCATCGGAATCATGTTTGCCTTTCCTTGCCTTGGGGGAGAAGGGGGAGGGGGGCAATATCCCCTTCCTGCTCTCGCCAATTATCTCATAGAAATGCCATGATTTTGCAATAAAAACCTCCCCTCGCTGCACGCCGCCGGCTCGGCGGTTCTCCGCGTTACAGGATGCCTATAGCTGCGTCTCCGCGTCTCCTCGCCGTGCTGCAGCCGCTGCAGCTCCCGCACGACAATGTCCCGCGAGCCCGGGCCCGCCGCGCCCCTTCTCTGCCTCGAGCTTTCTCGCCACTCGCGACCGCCCCGCCCTACACGACAATGACTCCCCTGGTATGCCCTCCAGGGCTCCCCACGGCTCTCCAGGGCTCTCCAGGGCTCTCATCTCCACTCCACGAGCCGGTGCACCCTGCGCCGCAGCACATCCCTCTGAACAGGCTGCCTTCCTTTCTGATTGTGTCTCTGCCTCTTACATTTTCTCCCCACCCACTGCACACACACTCACGCAGCTCCGAGTGCGGAGTCGCCTGGAGGCGAAACTCCTCCACTGCGAATAAAACTAATTACGACTCTGCTCCTCCAGTCGGACCTCGGCCCGGACCGGACCGGACGTCTCTTCGGGGAGGAAAGAAATGAGGACCGCGAGAATGGCAGAGAGGGAGCGAAAAGGAAGAAGGGGAAAGAGTACGAGAAGAGAGCGGGAGAGCGGAAAGGAGGGGGGGAGAATGACACAGGAAAAGCAAAGGGCCAGTGCCAGTGGCAACACAAAACGCTGTCCCGTGTGCCCTTCTAGCTGTGCGGGGCCCGGGCCGGCTCGGCTGACCCCACTCCTTCGTAATGAAAGTAAGAGTAAGTGCCAGTGAGGGGCGGGGCGGGGCGGGGTGCAGTGCCTGGGGCGAGCCTGGAACAGCTTGGCCGGCGGGCACGGCGGGCGGCCAGTGGTAGGCAGCCAGTGGTAGGGTAGGCAGCCGTAGGCAGCGGTGGGACTCTCGAAGCTAATCTAATCTCATCCGCTGACTCAAGCTATTTGCATATCGATTCCGTCGCGCGCAGACGTGGTGTCGTCATGGCGAGCAGAGAGGCCGTTGCCACCGAGGGGCGCCGAACCTCCCGGCGGCAGGGCGTTGTGCATACACGGGACGCACCGCTCCCGGCCCCGGCCCCGGCCCCGGCGTGGCGTCGCCATTTGGAGTCGCCGCGATGACAGGGGAAGAGGAATCACTTGAGCCCCTCGCCTCAGCGCGCCTCATAGCACAGCGCGTCCACAAGAGAGTGGGACGAGGAAAGGAAAGGTTCACTGGCAGATAATTCATTTTACGAGCTAGCGAGAAGTCAAAGGCGGACGAACTCAAACCTAACCCGCCAATGATCGCGTCGGCGAATATTAAGGTAATTTGGAGTCGTGCCCGGTTATTATAAAATATTCCCATTTTTTCCCCTCTTGTTTTCCGTGGATTTGGTGGTTCCCGCGGGGGTTGGGGAGGGGGGAGGGGCGGTTTCTTGACGCTTGGCAGCGCCGGTGAGCCGGTCGGCTCGAAAGGTCGTTAGGAGAATCCAAGTCGTTCTGTCATTCCATTCCACCCCATGAGCGTCGCTGCTCTGCCTGGCGGCGGCGCGCAGCGAAGCGCGGTGCGTGGCGCTCCGACCGAGTACAGACTACAAAGAAGTAAGTCACCTTACTTCCTTCGAGACGGCGGAGGAGACGTTCTGGACGATCCTGGGCGGCTCTGGCTAACAAGACGAAAGAAAGGGATCTAGAGAAAGACAGGGCCTTCCGTCCTCTTCCACCCCATATCCGCTCCGGCTCCGGTCGTGGCGAAGTGGTGACCTCTCTGTCCTGCGCGTCTTCTTTGTACTCTTCAAGCCTCACCTCCCCCCCCCCCACTTGTATAAGAAACATTTCGTTAAATATAAGCATTCCTACTACGAGGCCTTTTTTTTAACTGGGTGATAATACCGTAAATTACAATAAAAAACAACAAATGTTCTGTTTTTTTTTTTAAAAAATTCGCAATAAACTTGTACACTGCCCCTCTATCCATTGCCCTTCTCTGGCAACGGCGTTAAAACAGAAAAAAAAGTTCGCAGAAAAAAAACCGTTACGGACGCTTTCTCTGTCTCTCTCATCTGCGTGTTTTTCTGTCCGGCACGCGAGGCGCGAGTCGGCAGGCCCATAGCGACAGGCCGTGCGACGCGAAACGAGCTGCGAAAGCCGAAACTGAAAGCACTCCGCGCTCCGTCGCGGAGCCTGGCGGAGCCTGGCGGAGCCTGGCGGAGCAGCGCTGGCCAAGGCCCTTCTCCCCATTTGCGCTGCCCCGGCGTCGTCGGCGCTGCCCACCCTGGCCCTCTGGCCCGGCCGGGCGCCCATCGCCAACACGCCCTTCTTTCGCGTTGGCGAGTCTTTACACTGACTCCCGCCTGTTACTTGTTTCAGCCGGGACGGGGTTAAACGGCTTCCAAAAAGTTGCGCTGCGCCTCCATCATGATGCTCCTCGGGGGCTCCTCGTCCGTCGGCCAAGCCAGGCCGAGCCGGCGGGCCGAGCCGTAAGTCGCGAAGAGTTGGGCCGGGCCGAGGCCGAGGCCCAGGCCGAGGCCCAGGCCGAGGCCCCGTCACGCCGCTGTAAAGCTTCATTACTGGCACTTAGGCCCTTTGAAGGGCTTGAATAAAGTGGCTCCGTTACGTTATCCGCTCGCCCCATTTGCCCCTCCGCCGCCGTGGCGCGCCGCTCGTGCGGAGGCACCGGGGGAAGCGGCCGTGCGAAAACGAATTTAAGCATCGGAGCAGTGGCGGCATGAAAACATCTTCAAGTATTCCGTTTGCGAATATCACGTCACTCTCCGTTCCGAAATCTTATCAGGGTAGTCGTCTTAAGATTGAATTTTACGTTGTTTTTCCTACAGTAAAGGTTTTTTTTTTTTTTAAATGAAAGGATTTATAATGCTCACGACGCAGGCACGGCAAAGCAACGGCAACGGCTGGGACCTGCACGGGGTTGTTAGACGCAGCCCGACGGGTGCGATATTGCAAAATGCATCGTTGACGTGAGCGCAGGACGCGGCGTGTGCGCTGACGTCCCCCCACAGACTGACTGACGCCTCTGTCATCACCGCCACTGTCTGCCCTCCACGGCGCCCTGCTGCTGCCGCTGCTACTGTGGGTCCCTGCATTGTCGATCCGCCCACCGTTATGCCACCGGTGCTCCTCCTTCTGACAATCCCTCGCATAATACGAATGGGGGAGGGGGCGGGGAATCCCCCAAATAGTGGGAAAGTGCTTCGGGTGGAAATAGAGTCTATTTTGTTTTCAAAGTTACCACTATATTGCAGATCCCGAGTGTGAGTTTTGCTAGTTTTTCTTAGTTTTCCTAGTACCGTAATAATTATACTTCAAAAACGCGGGCAGCCGCTCAGGAGCAAGTGTGGAGGTGTAGCTTGTACTTAATTTGCCGATAATACACCGATCACTAGGACCGTCAATGAGCACATTATTACCTCACAGAACCCGCGTAATCGCCAGGTAAAACAGAACGCCACCCCCCCCCCCCCACCTCACCCACACACTTTTCAATGGTTCGCTTAAATTCGAGTTGAAAACAGTCCCGGTACCCGAATATTTTTAGTCATGAGTATCGCTAGTCGCAAATATTTCCAGGCGTGAATATCAGCTTATTGTTAGCATATTGTTGGTCTGAGCAACGGTCAGTGCCTAATCTCCCGGCACCCATGTCAGGTGCAGGGCAGGGCGCCCGGCGGGCGGCAGTGTCCGCGCCCGCGAGCCGCGGGGATGCAACCTGACACCCGGCGGCCGAAGCTTCGCGACGAAAGCAGGGAAGGGGGCAGTTCGGAGCCAGGTGACGTGGTGCGTGGACGTGAGGAGACCGCGAGTGTTTCTAGCTGGGCTGAACCCTGACCTGGACCTGTTGACATCAGTGATATCCGCAGGACCATCGAGGAGCCATGACGAGACTGAGGTAGTTCTACCACTCCCCGCGTCTGCAGATGGGTGTCATCGGGTCGAGTACAGTGGTACTTAGGATAGCTACACTTTAAATCAGGGGTGTAGAGCAACTGTGCGACTTTAGTTGAGCGACCCTAGAACCAGTGGGACTTCAGTTGCACAGTTGGTGGACACCCTCGATTTACAGTGTAGGTTAGGCAGGGTGTGGTGCTATTCAATGGAATGCCCTCACTGTAAATCGAGGGTGTCCACCAACCAACTGTGCTTGTTTCAAGTGCCCTCTGACACAAGATCAAATTTACTCTTTAATCAAGCTAAAACTTCCTTTCAAATAAGAGAAAAATGTTATTCCCAAAACAAAATTGCATTGTTTCAATGGTAAATTTCATCTTGTGTCAGCTTTCACTTGAATCAGGCAACTATTTTGCTGGGTGCACACTCCACCTCGAATTGGTGGTGTCTTTTCCATTCACTCCCTAACCAAACCAGGTTCTTGAGGCTTTGGGTGATTTTGCTAATTTCTTCATTTCGCGACTTTTTGCAAGGCGTACCGATCGACAAACAGAAAGATTAGCCTGTGTCAACCTATCCGACTAAAATCTTCTTGCGCTGGCCTGGTAGCGTTAGTGACGAGCGCCTGAGAGGCGGGCATCCCCGTCGCGCACGCAAGCTTAACAGAGCTGCCTACCCGCTAGGCGCTCTCGGTGGCGTAGTGGGGGGAGCAGTGCTCAGCGCCTGGCAGGCAGGCAGCCCCGCCGCGCACGCAAGCTTAACAGAGCTGCCTACCCGCTAGGCGCTCTCGGTGGCGTGGTGGGGGGAGCAGGGAGCAGTGCTGAGCGCCTGGCAGGCAGGTAGCCCCGCCGCGCACGAGAGCTTAACAGAGCTGCCTACCCGCTAGGCGCTCTCGGTGGCGTGGTGGGGGGAGCAGTGCTGAGCGCCTGGCAGGCAGGCAGCCCCGCCGCGCACGGGAGCTTAACAGAGCTGCCTACCCGCTAGGCGCTCACGGTGGCGTGGTGGGGGGAGCAGTGCTGAGCGCCTGACAGGCAGGCAGCCCCGCCGCGCACGGGAGCTTGACAGAGCTGCCTACCCGCTAGGCGCTCACGGTGGCGTGGTGGGGGGAGCAGTGCTGAGCGCCTGACAGGCAGGCAGCCCCGCCGCGCACGGGAGCTTAACAGAGCTGCCTACCCGCTAGGCGCCACCACCGACGTGGTGATGGAGTGTCGTGCTGAGCGCCTGAGAGGCAGGCATCCCCGTCGCGCACAGGAGCTTAACAGAGCTGCCTACCTGACAGGCGCTCCCGCTGCCCCGCGTGGCCTGCCCTCCTGGCGCCGCACCGACTGAGGCTGCATTACTGGTTACTGGGGGGAGGGGGGTTGGCGTACGGCGGGAGAGTTTGCCAAGCCACATCGTGTCAGTGGAACTTGGGACTCGAGTCAGCCGCGAGTCAGCCGGGAATCAGCTTCTCTTCTCCAACGCTCGTCTAAAGCCTACCCCGCCTACCCCTCCCTATCCCCTCCCCCTCATTCGCCACCACGCAGACAAAAGCCTCCTGTGCGCATAGGGCCCCCGACCTCTCGTATCCCCCGCAAATATCAGGACAGAGAAAAAAGCCCTGCCTCGCCGTACCCACATGACATAAGGAACCATTATTTTCTTACATTTTCCACGAAAATATTTTTTTGTCAGATTTCACACTAGACCCGAACTCAAATTTTCTCAAAGTCTTGTCGACCGTTTGTCATTCCAAGCTAAAGAAACATGACGCACGGCGTAATTATACGGAAGCGGTATTTTCGTTTCCAGTACCGACGGGTGGGTCGGAATGGGACCCGGAAGTGGCGCCCTGACCCTCGCCCCGCCCTGGGCCGAAATAAAGTGTCGGGTCGCGGGTCGCGGGTCGCGGTGTAAAAGCGCGGGGACGAGCGGTGAGCGCGCGCTGTGCGGCCGCAGCCGGCGGCTGTGACAAAAGGAATTGACATGCAAGCAGACCCAGATCTGGCCTCAGTCCCAGGACCACTTGCCAAGAAGGGTCGTGCCGAAGGGCCCCGCTCCCTCCCTCGCCAGGGCCAGGGCGTTGCGCCCCGCGCCCCGCCGACTCGCGTCGTCCTTTCCGCGAACGCCCCTTTCACCGCGGCCTTCGTCCGCCTTCGTCACGCCACGCCAGGCTGCTGCCCCTGTCCGCCCTGCGCTGCAGTTCAGAATGCACGAAGCCCGCACGATCAACAGCATCACTTTGACCGCAGAAAGAGATAGAAATAAGAGATACGCGGACGCGCGAGAGACAGACGGAGGAGGGGGCCCCCTGCTCTCGTGACCGCCTCATCAAAAGGACCCGGCGGCGCCCGGAGACCAGGCGGAGCAGGCAGGCGGAGGCGGGTGTGGCGGAGGATAATGGCGAATGAAAGTGCGATATCCAGCAGGGGAGTGGCGTCCTGGCACGGGGCGGCGTGGAGCGCACGGTTACGTGGCCAACAACAAACTTAGGAGGAGCCAGCAGCAAACACACCACTCCTGGAGATAACCGCGACGAGAGTCGTCCGCCAAAATAATAAGTGACGATAATTTCCGAAGGAAAAAGTTTAGTGTTGCTCACTCGGAACAAAAAGTTCCGCCGGTGCCAGGACACATAACAGACGTAGCGCGCGCGCGCGCACACACACCTACACCTACACACACACACACACACACACAACTTACACAGCGCCACTCATTGCGGCCATGCGGTAACATTTTACTTACTTTAATGTGAGCCAGCGTCCCCCGTACGCGTAATAAAGGAGAGGACCACGCCGCGAGAGAGTAAAGGAGAGGGGAGAGGGTTGGAGTGGGGGGAGCATCCCCAGCGACTGCACGGCCTGAATACGGGATGAGACGACACTAGCAGTACACACACATCCCCGGCGCATCACCTACATCAGCGTGGACGCCCCCCCCCCAACCTCCTCCCCTTCCCATTTTCCTCCCCGTCCGAGCTGAGCTCGTCCTCCCCGTCCGCCTCCAGCCGGCCCCGGCCGGCGCTGCCCGGACCCGTCCCGTCATCATTCTGTGTGTTTGCCGAGAGAGTTAGTGTATACTTGTTCGCAGCGCCAGTGTAACGCCAGCCTCACCACCTCCCGCAGAAAGGAGACGATGATGATCTCGACGACGACAAAAGAGGAAGGACTGAGTAAGGTCCCGTGGAGAAAGAGAAGGGAGTGCGCGGAGTATGGTGCAAGTCAGTCCGCGCTGCCTTTCAGTCGCGTTCAGGACTTTTTTCCACACCCACCGCAGCTTTTCGCAGCTATTTTTTTTGTGGTGCAGCCGCGAGCTGTGACACGCTGACAGGCTGACAGCGGGCCCCGGGGGCCAGGCCCCCTGACCCAACCTGGCCGCGGCCTCCCGCCCGCCGCAGAGGCAGGAGCTGCGATCCGCTGATAACGAGAGTTTGCCCGAGTTTGCCGGCCTCGATACTTGCGGTTTCGGCGGAGCCGATGAGCCAACGCGACCTGGCCTGGACCTGCCCGACGTCAGTGCTGCGCTGTAGCGGCCGCGCGGCGCGCGGTGTCCTTTTGGCAAATATTGGCGGTGCGTTTAGCGCGGGCGGACCCGGCGGTCGGGCGGAGCGGGGGGCGGAGCCGGGTTAGTTGGTGGACAGAGGGGTCCTATCTCCCCTTTTGTGCGGTGAACTGCATATCATCGGCACGAGTGGGCCGGCCGCCCTCGTTTACCTCGCGGTGTTTGGTCCGCCCCAGCCCCCGCCCACCACCCCCATGTAAGCACATATCACTTTTCAAAGGGCTGTGGGCGGGGCAGGGCGGGGCAGGACGGCAGCCTCAACCCTATATCACAAAGCAGAGACCTCGGCGCTAGCTCGGCGATCGCATAGCGCCATATTTTATTCCTTTTCTGTCTGCTCGGGCTGCCGCAGCGGAGAGTACAGTTGGGGGTGCTCCTGCCCCGACCCCGACCCACCATCGTAACTTACGTGATGACAATCGTCTACTCTTTTCGAGAAAAAACTCGAGCTCTGACAATAGACAGCTAAAAGGAACCCCCAGCGATGTGAGTTGGCTTAGATGGCAGGCACTCTGGCCGCCGTCCTCTTCGCCAGAATCTCCGCCAGATTCGCTGCCTATCCGGCATCCAGTCACAATGTCAAAGCCAGCCTCCTGACCTGGTGCCGGTGCCGAGGAGCCGAACGATCCGATCCAAGCGAGTGGCAGTCCGGACAGGGCCGTCAGCGCCGCTCGCCGCGGGCCCTGGCCCCCGCAGCTCGCTGTGGCCTGTCGTTGCCTCTGAAGGCGCCGACAACCGGCAGCTATAGCAAACTGAACTATTTTCCCTCCAAAATAAGCCCGTCAGTTAAGTGATGTGCCCCCGAGGCGCACGGCGAGCGGTGGTCGAGCAGAGGGCTCGCCTCGCCGCCGTTGGGATATAATCACCAGGGACGGTCATGGTTCGACTGCTGGCGGAGCGGCGCGGCGCAGCGCACACCCGCTCCAATTTCCAATTGACAAAAGCAGTGGAGCAGACGACGCAACGCGCTCGGCCGGGCGGCACCAGCAGCGCAGCCCGGCGCAGCCAGCGACCAGCAGGACCAATCCGCGCGCCATTTCCTCATTTTCCGCGTTCAAATCTCCCATTTCCGGTCACACATTCAATGCGCGCGGAACCAATCTCCTGCTGCTGCTGTGGCTCCTGTCGCCCCTGCCCCTGTCAGCAACCCCCCGATCACGGCGCCCCACCCTGCCCCGCCCGCCCCTCCTAGCGGTGCCCGCTGCTCGTGCGGCTGACGGGCAGCAGCACCGAGCGGGCTGAGCTGGGCGGCAGTTTGTCGAGCGCGCGTTGGCGAAGGCTACAGCCCCTGCTCCAGCGGGGGGATTTACCTGCCGCAGCCGACCCGACCCACCACCTCTCTGGCAAACTTTTGCAGCGCTAATTAAAACAAGTACCCGTGAACAACAAGGCAGAACTAAGCGAGGGTGGAAAGGGATACACCGAAACAACATCAAACACTTACGTAAAGTGAGCCTCAGGGAGGCACAAGGGCCACTAGTTACCAATGACAGCAGTTCCTATAACAGGTAGCTGAATAACCACTCACTTGTGGGTTGTGTCTTATATTGTATCATATGAAGGCGTGCGGGGACTGCCTACCGTGTAACTAACTACCGACGTTTCTCATTTTCATCATTCGAGTAATTACAATCTCTCGAAATAGACCACCTCAGCGCAGAGGTGGCCACTGATCACTATTGAGAGTAACGGGGTCTTACCTGGTTGGATTTCGCCTGGCTGGACTGCGGACCAAAGCTGCCCGTCAGTGGCGGCCCGTCACCCGACCACGCACCGCAGGCTGCCCTTGGCCGTCACTCTCCTCGTCACTCGCGCGTGGGCGCTAGCGCACCAGCGGGGGAAGGACCAGAGCGCGGCGGGACGCTCGCGGGGAGCTCGCCGGACGCGCGCTTTTCGAGTGGCCGCGGCTCTAGCGCGTCGCGACGCGACGGCGGGATGGGCGAGCAGACCGGGCAGACGCGCCTGCCTCGTCTGGCGGGGGCTGCGGCCGCGGTGCCGGTGGCGGGCGGGCGTCCCGGCGGGCAGCGCGGCGGGAGCGGCGCTACTAGGATTTATGAGTAGTAGTGAGCCAGCACGTGGACGGCGCGGGCCGGGGCACCGGCAGCCGGCGGCCGGGGATTCCGCGTCGAGATCACGGAAGAGGGTGGCTATTCAGGGCCAAAGTCGCCACGCGTCCCCGCGGGCTTCACGTGTCCTCGTCACGGGTGGTCCCGTCCCGTCACGTCGCGTCGCGTCACGTCACGTCCCGGGCCGTCACGCTGCGTGTACCGGGTCGCCGGGGGGTTGCTGTCCGTGGCTGAGCGGCCTGTGGGCGCGGTGGCGGCGGCGAGGCGAATGGGAGAGGAGGCGCGGCGCGGCCGGGACAGGACGGGACCCATCCCCCGCCGCAACCCCCGCCGCGCCCCCACCACCGCGCGCACCCCTCGCTGAGAACCTCACTCCCCCACCCCCACCCTTGGCTCGTAGTAGAGCAGCGAGGAGCCCGTAACCCCCCCCCCCCCCCTCTACAGCCGTTCCTCGGCCTCGGCACATCATAGGGGATGATGGCGCGGAGAGGGGAGGGGGGGCTGTGAGGAAATTAAAAGATGCCGCCCTGCATCTGAGGGGACACGGAGCGGAGGATGAGGGAGGGGGTAGCTCGGAGGAGCCGGGCGGGAGCCATAGCAAACGCATTAGCAGAGGGAGGGGGGAAGGGGTGGGTACCGGGCTGCAACATGTGATGTTAGAAAGTCTAGGAGAAAGAAACTGGGAAATATTTGCAGACTTCGGCGTTGCGGATCGCACTTAAGTTTTCGAAACTTTTGCCGTTTCATCCCAGTTGATACAGTAATGCCTCAATTTCGTATGCAGATTGAATTTAAAAATTGCAATTGCATCTTCAAAATGCCACTGCCCCTAGAGAAAGACATTTTTACTAAACTTTGACCCCGTAGTAACCGTCGAGTTGTCTTGGGTTCAAAGCGCCGAGGTTGTTAATGGTTATCAACGGAAGATACCACGTGTGACTTTAAATAGACTAGCCACCTCCGTTCAGGTGCGTTGTGCGATATGCGTCTTAAAGAGACTGCACAATCTCACGACTCAAACAAAGAATTTTTATCCGAGCAGTTGATCATTCTTAACCCAGTCCCACGTCATGCCCGAGACGAAAGGAGAGCGTGCGCGCGCGCGCGTTTGTATAACGTTTCACGTGAATATATTCTATTCTCCTAGCTTAAAATGTTAAACACGTCGCGAAATTGGCAGCTAAATATCATTTACCCCGTGGTTCGATATACGCCGAACTATGTGACCCAAACTTCGCAATGGGCTGCCAGGCACGAGAATCTCTAAGTCTTACCCCTGTCTCCTCTCCACCACTCCCTAAATTGGCGGGGGACCTGCCCTGCAGGCCCGGGGCGGCCGCCCGGCCAGCCTAACGAGCGTAATCTCATCGAAGAGCAATCATGGTCTTGTAACTCGGTGTGATGGGCCTGACGACACTACTGCCGCGCAAGCTCACCTCCGCGACACCCCGACACCCTTATCGCCCGCCCGCCTCCACTGTGCCGCGCTTCAGACGCCACACTCACGCCGCCAGCTGCACCCGTGAACATGATTCCGGGCCAACAGCGGAGCCAGTGGGTGTGCAACCCCCATAACCCATCGATCAGACGTTAAGGGCGGGTTGATGGGATCGGGTGTGCACGGTGCACGGGCCTGTTTCGGTTGCGCCGCAGTTGTTGTCGCACTGCTTCGCTAAAGCACCCCGATGGCGCGCCGCGCCGCCGAGACGCTCGCCTCCCAACAGCGTAGGGTATAGGCAACCCATCCGGCATCCGTGTGACTGCGGCTGCCTAGCGCAGTGCTCAGGGGGCACGAGTGGCCCGGCCCGGCCGCACCGCATCGCTCAATTCGATACAAGTGCGGGCCGTGATTGCCAGCTGCGGCTGATCCCCCGACCACCTGACGGTTACCTGACGGCGGTCAGGAGCCGCGGCCCCCGCACGGCACGCCCCGGGCCCGCTCCTGCTGGGCGCGCCAGTTCCTTGCCGCGCCTCGTCATAATCTAATCGCACCCTCCTCCCCGCCGCCGGGAAAGGTATCGCCGCCATCGAGTCCTGGCCGTCAGTGTCCTGGACTATGCGCCCCGGGTCATGTAGCCGCGCACGAGCCGCTGCCGCGCCCCGCGAGTCCACGAGCTGACCGGACAGGACTAGAGCCGCCGTAATGGGGCGAGCAACGCCCCCGCGGGCCCTGCGCCTCCTCCTCGCCGGGGTCGTCCTCGCCGCCTGCAGCGCTAGAGTGAGGGAGAAAGGGACCCTCCTGGTCTGGAGCCGGCGCGAGCCCGCATTCCGCATTACCCTAACACGGGCAATCCCTCTGTTCAGGCAACCCTCGCGACCCGCGGGCCCCACCCTCGTGCAGAAGAGGCCCTGTGCTGCGGGCCCCCAAAGGGGCTCCCTATTCCCGCCACGCCGGGGCCCTCGTTGGGGCTGGGCCACCCTGGCACCGATCCAAAACTATGCTGCGGGAAGGGGTGGGGTCTCCACTGCTGCCTCGGGGGCGCCTGCTGTCTGGGTGACAAGCTAGTGCCTAGGCCCCCACAACCCTCGGCGCCCACATCGCGCCCCCCGCTGTACGACAGCACCCCCTGGCGATGGAAGGATTGGGCCCAATGTGAGTCCAGCCGCCGACTTTGCCCTTTCGCTTCGCAAGCTATATTTTGAGGCTGCTCCTGTATCGTCCAGGGCTCAACATTATCGTGGTCATCCTCATCGTGGCGCTGGTCTCGGCTGTGATGGTGTGCTGCTGCCGGCGAAGCAGGTTGAACGAGCGGGATCCCCTCCGTGTCACTGACGCGCATCTTTTCAATTATGGCACAGCACCAGGTAAAACATCAGAGTCCCACTTCTCCACTAAAAGGCTTAACACTCGCGTCGAACGAGACTATTCTTTCCAAACTAACGTTAGAGTTTCAGTGCGATCTGAAACTTCTTCGAAATGATCAGTAGGTTTAAGAATCAGTCACGAATAATTCCCCTGTATCTTCTATCACAGGATATCGTGCGAGCGCTCCCTACTGGAATTCTCCATCGCGGTGGGTAGACTTTTCATATGTGCCCGCGAACGGTGGAGCTCAGAAAGCTCACGCCAGCCCGTACTACAAGCCAGCTACCACGGTGAGGAGAGTTTCATCTTCTGAGTCGGACACAGGTGTCCACCCTTCCCCAATATTTTCCTCCTCAGACGAAGAATACAGATTAATTTCAGAAATGAAGCGGAAAATTGTGGTTCCAAGCTGATCACAAGCCAATGAAATCTAATTGTCTAGTGTTGTGAGATATTTACTGTAACTTAAGTCTGATCTTAATTCTTCTTTGAATTATTGCAGGTCAATTATTATGCTTCACACCCAGCAGATATGTAATGTTATGAATGGGAATTTGTTAAGACACAGTCCAACTAATAAACAGCAAGGCCGTATATTTCATATGAGAAACCACATAAAAACACAACCCCGCTAGCTTCCAACTTCTTATCGCACAGAAACAGACACCTGCCAGACCCTAATAATGTTATCTGAGTAACCAGCAAACAGAGTCTGACCATCAGTCGACCAGGCCAGAGACAGGCACTGTGGAGGCTCAGCCTTAGTGGTGGAGGAAACAACTTCAGGTCGGAGTTCCTCAACCATGTCCTTGGATTCCAGATCCTAAACAATGAAAATAATAATTGATGAATTCCATAGAACTGTTTGAATTCCAGTATTCAAAGATTTAAAAAATGAACATACCCAAATCTTGATAGATGGTCCATAAGCAGCACACAGCCAGTACCGGTTGGGGCTGAAGCACAGGGCGGTGATAATGTCATTGTGGTCCAATGTGTGCAGATGCTTGCCATCGTTGAGATCCCACAGCATAGCTTTGCAGTCCTGAAAAATAAATGGTCCAGATGAGCAAAGATTCAAGATACACTGTACACAACATAACTGTAACAGATCAGAAATGTGAGCACTCAACAATGAGTTCTCAATTAAAAATCCTGAACTGACATTTATATTGGCCAAAAGCGAAACTGAACACCAAAACAGTTATCCAGCATTATAATGGCCTACTTAGTGTTACAAAAATTAAATATCCTACCTTGCCACCAGATGCGCACAGAGAGCCATCAGGGGAAACAGTCACAGTGTTGAGGTACCCGGTGTGTCCAATGTGGTTGATCTTGAGTTTGCAGTTAGCAAGGTTCCAAACCTAATGAACAAACATACAGCTCTTACAAAAGTAATGGTAAATAAAAAAAAGCTTCACTGGAATGGGTAGATTCAGTCCCATATCCGCAGTGAGTATACATCAAGGATATTCAACTCTGAAAGGATCATCATAAGCAGTATTGTAAAGGATAACCCATTTAATATGCAATTAAATCTTACCTTGACCATCCTGTCCCAACCAGCAGATACAATGATGGGGTTGTGGTGGTTGGGGGAGAAACGCACACAAGACACCCAGTCACTGTGGCCTTCATCCTGCAAACAGAAAAAGATTATTAGATACAAAGTTAAAGTCCAAAGGGCATTAACAAATCTCTTAGGGTCAGTCCCATATCCGCAGCGAGTGTTAATCACAAATGTCAACTCAAGGATGTCATCATTCAAACATTAACAAGAGAAAACAAATAAACATGCTTACCGTAATAGTGTATTTGCACTCAGCAAGTGTGTTCCACAGCTTGATGGTCTTGTCACGGCTACCAGAAACAATCTGACGGTTGTCCACGGAGAAGGCCACACTCAAAACATCCTATACAGAATAGTCATAATTATAAACACCACAAGACACGCACACAATCATGTCTTTAAAATGCTTGTGTACGTTGTCAGTCCCATATCCGCAGTGAGTTTACATCACTGACTTTCAACTCTGAAGGATCATCATGAAATACAACACGCATTATCTGGGGAGTGAAAGGATTGAACTAAAGCAAAACTAAAAGTGAATCTTGAACAAACCACATGCATGATAGCACAACTTGTAACATATGATTTAAAGTGCTTAGATCACGCCAAATGATGGTGTCAAGGCCCATAGGGGGCATATACTCACGAGACGATGCCCATGATTCTTCTAACTATAAAAAAAAAGTTCAAAAAAAAAAGCTTCCGTTTTAAATCCCATCTTCTCAGAGATGTCGGGTCACACCTTGGTATGGTCCTCAAATCTTCTAGTGGAGCGCCCTGCAGCAAGATCCCACAGGCGAAGAGTCTTGTCCCATGATCCGGAGAGGGCATAGTTACCATCAGAGGAAAGCACAACATCGCTCACAAAGTGCGAGTGACCGTACAATCGCTTCTGAGGAATACCATAGCTATGGTCGTCACGGGTGAGCTTCCAAACAATGAGGGTCTTGTCTGAAACATGAAGGAAACATAGCTCCATCAAGTAACGCCAAAGCGGATAGCACGAGATGCAATGACATAGGTTCGTTTCAGTTGAAACAAAATTTCAGTACTAAATCCATCGCCGGCCCACGTGCAAAACTCGCGAGTAATCTGACCACACACGTGAACAAGAACGCGAGGTAGAAAGCTTCCATATCATAATCAAACGTGTGATGCGACAACCGCCATAACCTATACATTAATAACAAATCTGAATCGGATTCAAGGGAGACTTTCGAATTGCACTAAAGCGGCCATGTAAAAAAGGCAAGCGGAGAAACGAACGCACAAGGTCAACAATAGCCAATTGCATCAACAATAAAGAATTCTAGACAAAACCGGTAAAACACACGGCACGGCGCCGACATACGCACCTCGGGAGCATGACAAAATCATGTCCGGATATTTCGGGTTTGTGGCAATTTGGGTAACCCATCCATTGTGGCCTCTTAAAGTTCCACGCAGCTGGAGCGATTCTGACGACATCTTGAGCTACTTCACGGCCGGAGAGTCACGATTCAAAAGGATAAACTCCACATCGGCCGATCACAACGAGCGCCACGAAGTGCCTGAGGAAGGAAAAGACTCACCGGAAACAGAAGTGGCCCACTTGGGAAATACATAGATTCCTTTTAGCGGGCTGTGGCCGACTGCAGTGCCCCTAGCGGAGGTCTCTGAGTTGACCATGTAGGTTGTAGGCGCCAAAATTGAGATTTTTAGTTCCTTTTCTGCTCAGTTGTGCAAGTGTACTGGAGCTGGATTGACTAATGACTAAATACTGTTTTTGTTTTTATCTCCATTTATACAGGCAGATCTGGGACAGTCTGTGGAATCTGTTTTACCTAAGTTAAACGAGAATGCATGACAAAAGCTCACTACGGTGGCATTCCCTGGTTTGGTATCGCGTGTGACTTATCATTAATCCTATGAAATAAAATGTGATGACGCGAAAAGCTAAGTAGGAAAGCGTCACTGAGCACACATGACTACTGTAGGCGCTGTGGGAGGCTTTGGATGACATATAAATTCGACAAACGCGGTGGTTGCTATAGCAACGAATCTGACGCTTTCCCCCAGATCCATCCTTCACTTAGATTGCTGACTGCATTATCATGGCTGACAGAATAATTCCATCAGTGAATTCACTCGTGAAATATGATAATGCTGTTTTGGTCACCAAACACCCAGAGAAAAAACTTCCCCCTCTTAAGGTATGTAAATAGTGTTCAGCCGATCCCTCCTTTCTGGAACTAAAACCCTCACATCAGATATACCTATGTAATATAGGTCCAATCAGGCATCACAGCATCTGCACCTTCCCCTAAACCTGGTACTTCAGCAGCCGACTTGCGAAAGGAAACAGATGAGATATTGAATTCTATCCTTCCACCAAAAGAATGGGAGGAAGACGGACAACTTTGGAGACAACAGGTAATAATCATGCCAAAAATCACTGTATTATCATTGCAGAATATATTTCCAACATCTTTGAATTCATTTTTTGTTTTAAAGGTGTCAAGCACACCAGCAACTCGTCTTGATGTCATTAATCTACAAGAGCAGCTTGATATGCGCTTGCAGCAGAGACAGGCAAGGGAGACTGGAATTTGTCCAGTCCGTAGAGAACTATACACCCAATGTTTTGGTTAGTATTATTAGGCATTTCTTGCAGTGTAAAAGTACAATTTGAAATATTTAAAATGAGGAATACTTTGATTGGTTTGGACAGATGAAATTATTCGCCAAGTCACCATTAACTGTGCTGAAAGAGGCCTACTATTACTCCGAGTTCGAGATGAATTACGCATGACTGTAGCTGCTTACCAAGCTCTTTATGAAAGCAGCATAGCTTTTGGGATGAGAAAAGCTCTTCAGGTATACAATATACTTAGCACAAACTATGCGGTGTTTCATTGTCAATTTAAAAGAAAAGGAAAATCCATATGGAAAAGTAGGGAATTCTAAACCCTTTTTTAAATTTGACAGGCGGAACAAGGTAAAGCGGATTTAGAAGAGAGTGTAAAAACACTGCGGGAGGATAAAGCTGAATTAGAAAGGCAGCTATTAGATCAGCGCACAAAGGCAGAACAGATGGAGAGACGTTCCAGTGAGTTAAGAGCTGCTGAAGAAAAAAAGCATACCGAAGAGATAACCTTTTTGAAAAAGACAAACCAACAATTAAAGGTGAAAAGGCTTAATGGCTATCATGGCAGTCTAAGTGTTTGTGTGTCTTTCTAATACTATCTATCTTTCCCAGACTCAATTAGAGGGTATTATAGCACCAAAGAAGTGAAAACGGATCTCTCAGCCCATCATCATCCATCACTACAGGTTTTCTTCTTTTTTCCTTAAGGTTTCATGGTTAAGAGGCTGTGAATATTTTGACTCTAGTGGTAACAATTTTTGAAAAAACAAATCAAGAAATAAAACGTTCTCTTTTAATTCTTTGTTTTGTACACAGCATATATTTTCTATAACAGATAAGGCTAACCAACACCATTGATCATTGTTGGGGCACAATATGACATGTTCCTAATAATAAAATAGTGTTACAATTTGGTCACTTCTATTTGCAGTACTCTGTTAAACAACAGTCTCAAAGTCACAATCAACTTACATTATAGTAGATACAATAGAACATCACAGTGAAAAGATACTTCTTCAAATACGTGTTACAACGCTGCCACTTATCTATATAAATTGATTTTGATTGTTTCAAAATTCAAAAATTTCATACAATGCCATGAAAATAAAAGGACGGAGGGACGGAGGAACATACAGGGACGGATAAATGTGTTCCTGTCAAAATATGTTTGGCAACAACAAAACAAATAAACATTCTACCAAAATTAAATTAGTTGAGCATTAAAGATAAATTTAAAACGGAATCTCCAACAGGTAAAGAGAGAAGAGAAATAGCATGTAGCACACCTTACTGAAAATGCAATTGACAGGTGCAAGTCAAATTATTAAAATGCAGAGACTAAAATAAAATAAATCCCTATTTGTTTATTTCTTTGAAACTGGTAATCCATAGGTATGCAAAATATTTTTGATTTAAGAAAATGTCCAACAATTTATAAGGACCACCTTGAGTAAGGCACTTACAATACTGGGTGGTCTTCATCATCCAAGCCTTAATTAGAGATCTTAAAAGCCAATAAGCTGCCTTTTTTTTTTTTCTTGGGGAGGGGGAGGGGGGGGTATTATTGGACCCATCTAGTTGATAATATTGCTGTCTCCTTGTACAGGCTTAGAGGAAAGGCAGATACAGCAGAGGGTTTCAAAATGTATTTAATCCTGGTAGAGATTATTTTGTGATTGTTAAGATGGGATCACAAACATTACAGTACAATTAAAGGTACAAATTTTCGTACAAAAATACAGGGAAATGTAAGAGAATTTATCTATGTAACTGCAAGAAACAATACAGGAAAAGCTATGACGATCTGTAGTACTGTTTGTGTGATGTTCTTTGTGTGCGCCAAGTGAAACACTTCACATTGAATTAAAGCATCTCTGTCCTGAGCACAGACTTTTTCTCAAAAACTTTTCCCACTCACAACTCACGGGAAGATGTAGCCTGCCAGCACACAACAATCAAAACCAATAAAAGGGGAAAAGACATATAGGTACCTAACTCATTTATAATAAATACAATAAAAATTCATTAAAATCAGAACATTACACACTGAACATTAAAAATTTCATGACAATGAAATAATTTTTAACAGAAATTCATACAGCTTAATATTTACAGAGCAAACTTAAACGGAAAACTGTCCTAAGCAAGAGAGGACATAATAAATAGAGAAAAACATTAACCAATTAAACACATGGATAACTTATAAATTCATGAAATAGGTGATCACATGAAAAACTATAAGATGGCGGGACAAAAATCTAATGTTTCTTCTTACTACGTTTTCGCCTCTTTTTTTTGTTAGTGTTGATGGATTCAGGACCATCCTCAGTGGTGGGGGAAGTGGGTGTGGATGATGGAATGTCTGATGATTGCTGCTCTTCTTCTTCATTATCTTCATCTTCATCTTCTTCCTGTAATGTTGGAGAAACTGGTGGGGTAACATCTAACAATGCATTTTTCTTTACATCCTCTGGACTGCATAACTCCAATGATATGATCTTCTCCCGAGTTGTTTCAACCTAAAAAAGAAAAAGGGGAAATACAATAACTGAATGTAGTTTATATGAAGCACACCATTTCAACATTTGTACTTTCTTGATGTTTAAAACACACAGTCATAGACCTTTTCAAACACTGTAAAAAATTCATCAATATATAAAATACCATGCAAATAATGACATAGCAAAAATTTTTGAACTTTAACATGCAAAGAGTCTATGCATTAACCATCATAAATTTCAGTGTAGGTGGAATAAAAAAGAATTTATAAAATCTTGTTTCTTAAAGAGTAAGAATTGAGGGATGACATGCAGAAGTGCAGCAGTATACAAATGATTAAAATTTCAACTATTTTAAAAGATTTCTAATAATATTCATTTAACTGATTCAGAAAATTATACCAAAACAGGCTTTTGAAAGGAAGTGGAATATTGTGCAATTGTGTGTTTTGGTGGTAAGTGTTTACTTTTGCGGCTCTTTTTTGAAAAAAAATTGTACAATAGATTTGGACTGAAAGGTCTGAACAATTGAAAATAAGAAGACGAACTACACCTGGGAGCATAAAACAGAGTGCATTAAATTGCTGCTGAAAAACACCTGTGCTCGAGCATCTCCAAGCCGTTTCTAAAGCTTACTTAAATAAATAGGACCAACAGCATCAACCAGGACTATCCAGTCCCTTAACTTACATTGAACGTCATCGTGTTTAACTTCCATGATATGAAGGGAAGAATATTCACATAATATAATACAAAATTAAAACAACAACAAATTGATACGTAGCATCAGCAGCAAATACAGCAAGAGCAGCAGAGCAAAAGGTGCTACATGCACAGCGAAAGTGAAGTCGCCGTGAATTCAATCATTTAATACCTCTTTTTCTATCAGCTTTTCAACGTATTCTACGGTGCGAACTTTGATCATTCCTGATGCTTCGTCCACATACTCCTCCGTTTTGCGGGTCACTTTTTCTCCAAGGAGTCGTTCAGACTCTCGAACTTTTGTGGCTCCCTCTTGTGCCCGGAGGGCCAGCTTTGGAAAATCAGCACTAGAAGGCCGGAGTAAAGCAGGGCTTGGCTAACAGCAGGGAGCAGGGGAGTAGTTAGTACCCAGCACCCTTCCACACCCATAAATCATCAAACTCCACCAGTAAGTTGATCTAGGTAGTATTCCCCTTCCTTTTTGTTCAAGCAAAGACCAATCTAAATTTTAATAGAAAGAACTAAGACACATAATGTTGCATACGTTGCATACATATTGGAAACAGCAAAACAGCTATTCTGTCAATTTTTTTCTTTTTTTTTCTTTTAAAGAAACCAAATTTATGAAAGAGGCAAAGAAATTCCAAATACTAAAAGAGAGACCTGTGAGACCAGAGAGATTAAAATACAAGTTACTCCCTTCTTTGTGATCTGTTCTATGAAAATAGAATGGTAGGAGGAAAAATGTTGAAAGGGAGGAAAGCATGCATGTGGAAGGTAAGGATCATGAATTAAGGCAAATATGTGAACTAGCTTATGGATCTGTCCAATGTCTTCAGGGATTAGTCTCTGACATGGAAACAGAACACTAGTGTTCTAAAAAGACCTAAATACAGCCCCGCCCTCTCAAAAAGTAAAATAATAATTATAACCAGACCAGAATAGTACTAAAACAGCCTCATTTAATGTAGCACTTATAATTTTTGAAACCACCGAAGTTAGATGAAATCAAAGTACAGTACACCAAGTAAAAAAAAAACAAAAAAAAACAACGGAAAAGAAATAGCGTTTCACCCATGATTAGAAAAAGAGCATAGGCATGGGACAGAAATAATTTTTAAAAGTAACTTACCTCTAGCTCTACATTGTTTTCTCCATCTGCATGAAGATTGTTGTGATGCAAATGATTATTCTCAAAATTGTTGTTATTATTGAACGATGCAGTGTCAGTTTCTTCTACTCCAGCTAGTGGCATGGGTGAGGTGCCTGCCTCAGGAGTAGAGTTACTTTTGTTTGGGTCACTATCAATCATTTCACTCATCTTCTTAATGACCATTTGAGCCTGGAGTGCATCCTGAGTGCAATATGAAATTTGTTAGATGTTGCAGGTTCCACATCCACAATTCCTCTTAGCAGATTCACATTAAGATACACTTTTAAGTTAGGAAAAAGATCACATTTAACATCAAAGTCATGTAAAATAACAAAATATTTAAAAAAAACAAAAAAAAACTATCTATGCTTTTGAAGAAAATTGGGACGAATTTGAAATTTTAAGAAGCTTTTTCAAAAATATATCACTGATTTATTTAATTTGACAGATATAATGAAAGGAAAGGGGATTAGTGGGAACACACCTGTTCTAGAGACTTAAAACGAGCTTGGCGCCATGCAGCTCGTTTTTCAGCACGTAAAGAACGCTGTTCGGCAGGTGATAGTTCTTTATCCTCCTCATCTGTCAGGATACCCTGTCCAATTGCAGTTGTTAAAACAGTTTCAATGAAAAATGATAAAAAGCTGATTGCTGAGTTTTAGTTGAGAACACAATGTGAATAGAATTCATGAATGAACTGAAGTTTTGCTTATATGAAATTGATGTAAAGCAACAATCACGACATTTAATTTACTTATTATAGAACCTAGAGTAACTTAGATAGAACACAAAATTAATGTGGCACTAATACTAACCTCCTGAAGAAGTCTCTCCTTTCGACGTTTCTCTGCTTTAGCAGTTCGAACTGGTACTTCCCGGATCGGTGTGGTGGAAGAATTTCTAAAAATAGGCAGGGACAAATTATGATACTCTCTTTAGTTTAAGATATCAAGCAATATTTGTGTTAACAAACTAACCTGTTGAAACTACTATCGGCATCATTATGGCTTTCATTGCGATCCTCATCATCTTCATCATGTTCAACCATGTTGGTCAGAGTCTTAAGCTCTGAGCGCGAGAGAGATGCAATTTTCTTTTCTGTTTTAATAAGATGGATTAGGTAAAAGTCCATAATCTGCCTAGCTAATTAACTTGTTTGGTATACATACCAAACAAGTTGTACATGTACAAAATACAATAAGATATAATGGATAAACTCAAATACCTTCTTCCTGCTTCATTTTTTCAACTTCATCTTGGCTTAAGAAGCTAAAAACTTTTTCTGAAAAAAGTAGAATAAAAACATAGAGCAGATGCATGGGAGATACATTGTATCCCTTTCTTTTCAACTTAATAATGTTACCTGGTTTGGGAGAAGGCTGATGTTGTTCCTCCATTGCTTTCTCAAAAAATTTCATTTTATCACTCACGGACATTTTTTGAGGTGCTGGTGGGGGAGTGGATGCACTTGTTGTTGCAGTTGATGTAGTCACAGCAGTGATATTACCAGATACAGCAGTGGAGGTTGCATTACTTTGTGGACCAGTTACAGCCTACATTAGAAATAAAGTAAAAAGAAATAGATTAGATTACTACCAATCGATTGAGCAGCTTCATGTCTATAATAGCAGCCTACACAATAAAAGAGAGGTTACTGATTACAGTCTGAATCGGTGTAAATCACTTGGAAAACAATGACTGCGTGTTTAGGTGGGATGTGACTGATTCCTCCTACTAACAAACTAGATTTACAAAAAAACGAAACAAAAAAAAAGCTAAAAAGGGAGGAAAGCAATGGACATAAGTTGGGACAGTAGTTCTGGGAATTAATGCAGTTTTCTCATGAGATTTTGAATTAATTAACTTTCTTATCTATTAACATTGTACCATCACCCGACTTTAGGAGCTTATTGCGAACTTCCATGCAATTCTTTACCCGTCTACATGCATAAGCAGATGTAGATAACATTCTATTTCTGGATAATAGAAGACTATTCAGTATTATAAAGAACCAGCCTAAGCACAGAGTGAAAAAGAAGTTCATTTCAGATATAGAAAAACCCACCTGAAATGATGACCGAATTCTGCCATACCCATCGGTGTCCAGGGCACTCTCTGCAGAAGAGGATAGGGACTGAGGGTAGGAAGAACAGGAATTGATAGGAAAAGTGCAATGTATTTTGCCTGGAGAAGCTGAATGTGAGTGGGCAACCATTGACAAAGGGCTGTGCAATGTTGTTCTTACTCCTAAAGGAGATGATGAAGGAATTGAGCTCAATAATGTGACCTCTGGATCTTGACAAAACCTAGGAGTGTTAGATGTTGCAAGGACATGTGGAATAGGTTGAACAGTAGTTATAGGAAAATCAGGAAGTACAGTTGGGCTTGAAATTTCAGTCAAAATGAAAGTACTAGAACTTGAGGTAGGCATGGTAGCGTAACACACAGGGGGTGGGAGATCATCTGCTTCAATATTTTTATGGTTTTCCTGATGAACATTTGGTGTAACTAATGAACTCAAAAAGGAAGTTGGGACAGGAGAAATACTCTTCATTTGCCTGAAGGGGTGAGATTTATTATCATTACCCTCTAAATGGTGGAAAAGATCTAAAGATCTAAATTCAAAGGGAGGAGGAATAACTTTATTTTCACTTAACTCGTCATGAATGGACGTAGGATTGAGGCAAGGTGAAGCTCTATTGGAATCATTCGAGTGGTGGGATGTTTCAAAAGAAATTCTGTTAGTGTCAATATTGTAAGAAGAAAGTGGTCTGATATGGGGACTGTAAACAGGAGAATACAAATCTGGAAGAGTTGTATTTCTTTCTGTGTTTGTATTAGCACAGTCAGAAACTAAGGAATGGTTCACATTCTCACGGTATTCTGTTGGTGGTCTTTCAGGAACAGATGATCCCTTGTAATAAGTCATATCAAGATCATGTTTCTTGGTATTGGTAGGAATATTTAAATTTAAGTGGTCCAGAACTTCTGGTGAAGTGTTGGTATTAGAACCTATAGAACCTATAACCTCAAGATTTTCAAGAGACTTTGAATGTGAGCTAGAAACAGCAGCAGATTTCAATATATTGGTTTTGTTTACCGTGTTGTCAGTAGTTAGAATTCGTCCATCAATAGGAGTAGAAATTGCACTTTTATAATTAATCTCATCACCAACTGAAGGCTGTTGTTTTGTTAACTTAGGCTGACTGGAGGCTGACTGAATTGGTCTTATTTTCGGTGGGTGAAGTAGAGTAGATTCTGATGAAAACCTCTTATGAAGTTGATGATTGGGAGGGGTTGGAGGATTTTTGGAAGGAGTAGGTGCCGCAGAGTGTGTTGTTCCATGCAAAACCATATTAGCTGACCGGGTTTCCTGTTATGCAATACCATTATTGCAAGAATTAGTGCACATGCAAACAAACCAAAGGATAAGACATGCAAACTTAACAAAGAGGTTTCATCAAATCAGACAAACTGTCTGATATGTATCAACCTCTCTCACTCTGTAAAAGTATTAACTCCAACTTATGGTGATCAGAAATCACCAGTATCAGAAAATTAAATTTATAAAATGGTAAAAGGGCAAATAAAAAGTGGGTGGATGATATTCAACAGTGCAGAGCAGGGAAGATAAAAAAATATATAGAAGTGAGTGGTTATACTACCAAAACAAAATTCAAGCAGAGAAACAAGCACCAGAAAGATTGCAAGCTGTGTTGCCACAGTAAAGGGTACTGAATTCACCAGAGACAGGATGTGGTAATAGAATAAATATATTTTGTGAGATACTTTGGTATTTTATGTACACAAATAAAACCTTGAAATAAATTTCAAGATCAGACAAACATGGCACATAAAAATGTAGAATTGAAACATCTTGACATATAGTAAAAGCACTATTACAACATAAATTGGTCCAAATGAATGAGAGAAGTAAAGCAACCAATTCATTTCTGCACAAATCAAACAGAGCTATAGTATTTCAAAAACTAACAAAGAATAAAAAGAGTTGTTATTTAGTTAAAGAATTTTAATTTGTTCAATTTAATGAAGATATGACACCTTGAAAGTGTATGGTATTTAAGTTTGACTCTACCAGTGGTGCATAAAATTGGTTGCTGAGAAAACCAAATACAAAAAGACCTCATGTCCATCTCTAAAAGACACCAATAGCAGAGAAAACTTAACAGTTTCTTAATTCAATATTACATGAATGCAACAAAAAATATTTAAATACCCTGTTTCATTAAAATGCAGGACTGGATGGAAAAACGAAAGACATGTAGCCTTACACACACAACCGCACTTATAACAAGTCTTAAAACTAGTAAGTAATAGATATGCAGACAAGTAAATGGATTACATATTATCGCACATTCTTATATCTGAGCTATGTCTCAAAATAAGAAAAATAAAAGTGACTTCCAAAATGTTTAGTTGGCTTTAGAAAGATGTACAATACAGTAAAGCTTACCGCTGCCTCACATTTCTTCTTTAACACCAAGAAGTAAGTACCCAACAATAGTGAAATCACAATTGCACCAATAAGTTCAATGACAAAATTCACAACACCAAATGCATATGAATAATACCATGCAACTGACCAATTTGAGATATATACAGATATCTAACAATAGTGAAAAATGCTTGTTAATTGGAAAGAATGCAAATGATTTATGATTGACAAAAAAGAGGATGTAGCATATGATGACAGTGCTACACAGTACACATGAAAAGCTCAACCATCCACCTTTATATGGCATAAGAAACATCAATATTTAACAATGGCACAAGAAAATTAATTACATGTTAAGAGAAACAACCGAGCATCATAAAATTGTCCATAGATCAACAAATTCATAACATAAAAAATACATTTATTACATTCCACAATACATGCAATTAGTCTACACACTAACAACCATCACTGATCAGTATCCTGAGAGGAATGAAGAGTATGGTACAAAAAACCACAATAACTATTAGAAAATACTACAATGCATAATATACGAGCAGTTTAATAACATACTGTGTATGATAAATCTTTGAGACCAAAGTATGCTCCAAACCAGAAATTTTTCCATTTCTGTAGAAATTCTCACACACAAGCTCACTTTACTACTCACTGTTATAAAGCTGGCGGCAGTACTAGTACTTATTACACAAAACAAAACTACTGTAACAATATCTGCACACACATATTCAAGCGCACATCACCCCTATTTAACTTAAACATCACAATTACAATGCAATTACAGGTGAGGTATTCTGGTTTTTGTTAACAGACTGATTCCCTTGGATGACTCATGAGCTCTTTACCAAAAAATATAAAGTATACTGTGCAGCCAATGCATTGTGTGGCCACGGCTAGTTTCCCTGTAAACACTCAAGACATGGCAAAACTTGGATTTCAGAGCTGTGAAGTAGGAAAAGGAAACCTTTTACTGTGGCTGAATCATGTACTACAATGAAAAAGAACTTCAACTACTGCGCTTGATAATGTGAGAGAAACCTTACCTAATATCACAATGGAAAAGACAAATTAATAATAGCCGGTTCTGACCTAAAGGTCCATTGAAATGCTACTCAATAAAAGTTTCAGCATGAGACTTTATATTGTATCTACTATAGCATAGCCTGTTGGCTTTGGGAGTTTGGCAAGTGTGGAGATTTAGATAGATAGAGACTTAGAACAATATATAGTGTCAATACATCACAAAAAATAAAATTTGGATTCATTTTATCAGTGGTCCATTAATAATAAATTGTCTCGTCAGATAATGTACCTGAATAATGAACTGAAAATATATGTTCGGGTAACGCCAACATCACACAATAAATTTTTACAGTAGCAGAATTAAACTAGACGAGCATTGTTAAACCGTTATAATGAGATTCATGTCAACGTATGGTTACACAAAATAGAACATGGTAGGCGTTTGCAAACTACAAATGACATACTCATCCATGAATCTGTTCGCAAATATACAATACTAGCTACACAACACCAGAGCATAAATAATGATAAGTCTCACAAAAGCTTCACAATAGGTACTTGATCCAGTTTAGACACATAGCTAAACTGTGAGAAATGCAAAATTTAGTTGCAAAACTCAACACGGTAATGCAGAGGTATCATGTAACAAAAAATGAGTCACTCGAAATGATTTATACATACATACTGCCTCATCAAAAAATTATCACATTTCATTACAATTGCTTATCATTTTTAGAGTAATTATTTGCAGTACCCTTGAAAGTACTTGAAGCATATGTACAGATTTTACAAGAACTGTTTTCCGTTAAAGGATTAAATGCTTTATGAAAGCACCAACTAAGATCTAAACTAACATCCGTTAGGGCCAATTGTTTGAGTTAACTTTGAACATATTTTATCATACAGAAGAGCTAAATGCTTAGGGAATATACCAATAAAATACAAATTAAAGAGTGTGACACATCAGGTGTCAAGAAAGGGACGGGGGATGAGGGGCTGATTAAAAACTAATACAACAAAATACAAGTACTGCATGTCTTGGGAAGACAAGAAAGAGTACACAGATAACCAATCGGTTCCTACACTGGCACACTATTTTTTTTATCTTCTCTTTTGGGGAAATAGCAGGTACAATTTCTTTAATTCAAAAAAGTATAAATAGAATGTAAATCAACAATCTAATTTCTCTCATAATGTTTTTGATTTTAGTTGCAGCATGAATACATCTTTCCATACATTTTCAGGTCACAAAGTGGTTAGTTTACCTAAACAAGCATCATGGTGGGTCACAATCAGTAGTGAGCATTGCCAATGACTACTGACACCAATTAAGAAGAGCTGGCAGTTTAAGTAAGACTGAAATCAGATCAACATTTTGTGTCACTCTACAAATAGAGCACTTTCAAATTAACATGACGATCACCATATAGAACTCATGCTTTAACTCAAGACAAGCATGAAGATGGAGGCAAGCGCACACACAAGATTTATGGTCCCGAATATTATAAATAGAGCATGTGTATATATTTTCACACCCTAAGAAACTTTTCCTCAATCTTGATTTCAATAAATTGGCCCAAAATGTACATTGTAGCAAACCTGCTGACAAGAATACTAAATTTGCTTCTTCCAATAGATATCTTAATATTAACAAATTAATGCTGCTGCTCACTATAGTGTTATGAAGCAGAAGAAATTTCCGGACACTGTACAGCCAGCTTTCAGTAGGGAGGTAGGAAGACATTTAAAAATTAGAGACTGACAATTGTATTTGCAATTGTATGGAGTATTGATATCCTAGCTCTTCATCTTTGTTCAAAGGGAATTGGGAAAAAGAACGAGCAGGGATGTCAAACGCTGGAGACATATCACCAGTAGTTGGAAAAAAATATACTGAGGGACTGGGTTTTGTTAACAATGTGCATGGAATGTCTTGTCAAGAAAACATTCATTCATAAAAAAATATTAAAAGATGAAGATAGTAAATTAAAAATTAAGATCATCTGAAAACCGGATATGTGCTAGCACAAAATCAAATTAAGCGTAATAATAAACAACAAAACCATTGACAGATTCGCTCTTTCATTAACTAGATTAGTTTTACAACCAAACTGAGTATGTAGCAGAGGTAAATGCATTTACTGTACTTCTTGGCACTCCCATCTTAACAAAACAAGAACCTGCGCATTAGATGAATTCAACAGGTACGTTTGATCTCAACAAAGAAATAGCTTGGATTTGATAAAACAGAGGCACAACATCAGAACAATTCTCTACAATTTCTTTTGATTTCTCTTATGTTTAATGTTTCCTCGTATGCTATGATGGAGAAGTTTCCTGAAAAAATAAAACCCACCAGAGAATCAGCACATTATTAATTCAGACGATAGATAAAATTGGATGCTATTTTTGTCTGTCTTCAAATAGAACATCAACTAACAATGTAATTAAGTGAAATAAATAAATAGAAAATTAGAAATCTTAAAAACATTCAAAATGGAGCGAAACACTACAATTTGATCATGCAGAAATCTATGCAAAAGCGCTGAATAAAAAACAACAACATATAATCATTAAAAATAATACAGATAACTTGCAGTTAGCTATGTCCAATTGTGATATCTTAAAGGTAAAGAAAAGCTATGCAGCAGAGTATACTGAGGTGTTTCAGATCGTTTGCCATTTCACGGCTTAAGATCATGGTACTAAGGTTACGCACCCTTGAAGAGACGTGAATTAATTTTACTTTAATACTTACTTTACTTTAATTTTACTTTGAATGAATAAAATTGTTACTTACACACATTCTTATCAGTCAAGCAAGAGCACATTCATTAACACGTAGTTTGCGGCCCGCACCGATAGGGTCACAATAACATAGGATTGCCTACCGCCGCCGCACTCAACGTGTTAATGAGAGCAAGATGTGAAAGTACACAATGAACAAAGGGAGATAAGAAAAGAGGAAAAAGAATAATTGATAGGTATGTACAAGTTGACTTCAAGATGACATACAGTCCTATGGTAAATTCTCTTCTTGGGAAAGAACAAGTTTCTTGACACAAACATGTTGAAGGGGGGTACAACACTTCATTCATAAAGCTAATTTGCATGCATCAATTTTCTGTAAACTATACTCATTCATTAAAATGAAAAGCGGCAAAGGCAGGAGTAAGCTATATTGTTGCCGGTTTAAATTTAAACTACAATATAAGTTTTAGAGGACCTACAAGTTAAAATTTAACATGAAACATTATATTTAGAATAAATGTAAGTTTTAGAGAGGATTTCTTTTGAAAAAAGTGATTGTTACAGAGCTCAAACAGAATAAACCACTGAAAAGTCAAAATAAATTAACTTGATCTTACAACACATTAATTATCAAAAACATTTATGCAAAGGTCTTTGTGTACCTTAAATATAACAACCCTGATGCCTGATGAATTGTATGTGCTGTTACAAAACAATCTCTAGAAATCTTACACATTAAAATAATCACGAGTGTGTTAGTGCCAGCCAGTTCTCCAGCAAACGATTCACAAGATTGCAGCATAACTTTTAAGTTATACCTACATTTGAGCTGGTCTCTTAAGTATTGGGTCATTTATGCTGTGAATTGAGCCATTTACACAATGATTAAAACTTAAAATCTTGCCAAATCATTGAAAAAAAAAAGACGGAGCACAAACACCAAGAATGAATGCTTCACAAATTAGGGGAAACATGCAGAACAACCCAACGAAAACCAAAGGTAGGTCAATACCACATGCAAGGAACAGACTACCAACTTACAAAATTTTATTTGAAAAAGCCATGCTTCACATAAAATTGCAGATTTACTAAATTAGGGATGATGAACATAAGAATAACAAGTTAACCTACATGAATAATTGTTTTATTAATGAGAAAAGTGACTTACCAAACTGGTCTGAGGTGCTAGTGTGTGTTTGCTCATGACAATAGTGGTGGTCTTCAGACTCTCAGCAGACTTAGGACCTCCAGGAGATTTCGGAACTAGTAATTCAGTGGGACTTGAGGGCTTCACTAGCATTTCAGCAGCCCTCACAACATCAAGAACCTACAAAGATTACAGAAAAATGAAGAAAGAGATCAATATCGAATTCATTCCTACAGTTACATACAGTTTTATTGACTAAAAACTGGTTCAGATCTTACTCTCTCAGGGGTTGATTTTTCCCTCACAGGCTCAAGTTGTAGATCACTCTGACTTTGTTGTAGAGCAAGTTGGTGCTCTCTTTCTCTTTCTGCTTCTCTTTCTCTGAGCTCCCTTTCACGTTCTTCTTGTTCTTGTTCCCATTGAACTAGCTCTTGCTTCATTTGTTGCTCCTAGAGCATTACATTGGAATAAAATTGATTCATTATTTTAAGAACCCTCATGTAACAGCAATTTATTTTAGAGCAAGGCTACCCTTTACGTACTTGTTTAAGAGTTGCAGAATCCTCATCCTCTCTGTCGAGGCTTGAAACACTTTGTGAGATAGATTTTGACATCTCTTTGGTTATCTTACCTTCAGAGATCAATTTTTCGACTTCAGCACGGTCATAGCCTGAAGAGGGTTTAGAAAAACACGGTTAGTACAGTTGAAAATAAATCTACAGTATCGTTTTTTGATGCAAAAGCTTGCAGTGTTTGAGTAAATATTTACAGATTTACCTTTACAAACTACTAGTCGAATTGTATTGCCAGCATTGCGCAATGCATTGACAGCTTCTTGATGAGAAGCACCCAATAATGATGCATCATTCACCTCCAATAATCTCATTCCCACCTGTACAGGAGCAATGATTTAATTACTCAACAATCATGCTATGCTTATTAGCTAGATATTACAATAAAGGAAGTTTTGAAATTTGAGACAAATTTATCTTAACCCACAATAAAAAATGAATGATCAAACCTTTAGTCTGCCGTCTCGTTTGGCAGCACCACCAGAATTAATTTTAGATATGAATACACCTTCATCTGTTTTGTCGAGGGGATTACCTCTGTGCCCTCTAAGGCCACCTTTGATATGCATCCCTAGTTTTTCTCCATCCAGTTTCACAATTGTCAATTCCTGAAAGGTAACAAGAAAAATGGTAAAATGAGTGGGACCAATTGATAGATAGATAGATAGATAGTGAACTTTTTGCGCTGCTTCAGTGATGCTAAATCATGCACATCAATCAAGACAAAACCACAGATAGATAAACAACAGCTGTGTTTGCGGTGTAACATCTCCAGACCACAACTATATGGTAAAACAATTATCACAGCAACCAATTTACAGCACTGAATCAATGACAATGGCATTGGCAAATTTAGTTTCTTTTTTTTCTACCAAGGCAACACGACTTCCCCTTCAACAAAGTTTTGGGTTGAATTTTTGAATACTTATAGAAGTTAAACCAGCTAAATGGATTTCTGTAATTGCCGCTTTCTTTTTTTCAAGATCATAAGTCGGAAAAAGCTAGAAACAATATTTTTTCATGTACTATGACTAATTGGTGCACGGAAAACCCGGCGCTAAAAGCGGAGACGTTGTAAGGGGATTCTAATGTACCTAGGACAAACACATTTCCTATCATGCAATAAGGGAGTATAATGATTCTACATCCATGCTGCTTCCACACGGCTGGTAAAGTAGGGATGAGCAAATTGAGAAGCAAGGTCAGTACTATGCTTAGTCTCCCATACCGAAAGACAACAGATAATTAATTATACAGCAAGATGTCATTAATAACACATCAAATAAAAAATAATAATACAGTACCATGTGTCAGGGCCACGACACAACAGTATGCTAGGTTGCCAACTCGCTTGATCTGTTAGGCGCTATGGCCCCCTAGGGTATGCAAAGCCGCAACAATGTTGTGTTGTAGCCCTGACACACGGTACATATTTACAGTCAGAGAACAAATATAAACATGCTGAACATTAGAATCGCCTATCAACGGGACGTTTTTCAGGACTCATGCTGCAGAAAGGACAAATAAAGAGAAATAGCACATGCTGAACCTCATGTTGTGTGATACCTAAGAAGGAACTCACCATAAATGGCACATATTCTATGTCTGTCAGCTTGTAAGAGAAACATTCAAGACCCAATTTAAGTTTCTACACATAAACAACAGAAAACGCGAGTGAATTGGTTTCTTGTCTTTTTTTTTTTCAAACACTTTCCCTTTTACACGGAGATTAAGGCTGGGCAATCATTTTGAGACTACCATTACTGCAAAAATAATCAAGCAATTGCTTACCTGGAACCCTTCAGGAAGTGGATCATGTTGGACAAGAAGTGTGATGGAATTTCCAGGTTGAAGTAGGGTCATGACAGCTTCCTGATGTGTACATTTACTAACATCTTCATTACACACCTCAAGAATTCTGTCTCCCATCCTCAGAGCTCCAGATGTTGCAGCAATGCCTCCAGGTACAATCTACAAAAGTATTTATTTTACTGATGATGCTCTGGTTTGAAATACTTAAAAAGACACTGTTAGATTATCTGATAAAATTACATGCGATATGAAGATGCCTGGTTTTCCTCCTCCAAATGGTACACACGAGTGGTCTGTCCCTCCAATAATGCTGAATCCTAGAGACCCGCCGTCCTTAAAGAGAGTTACCTCCTGAAACATTTTGATGACAAACCAGCTAATTAAAAACATTGACAATAGATATTAAAAATATTGGTTTAAAAAGAAATGAACTCAATGTAAAGTTTTCAAATAGAATGGTGCTGTAGACTAGCAACCGAAAGTAAAATGTGGTAAAATAGGGTAGCAAAATTGGAGCATAGGCATGCAGCAGAGAGAGAGAGTAAAGTACAAAATGGAAAAAAGGGACATGGTTTCACCAAAAAGAAAAGTGATTTGTGCTAATTGCGAGGACTTCGTATCATGTGCTGGACTAGCTGTACAAAAAGAACAATATGAAGTATGCATACAACTACACATGCACAAGACAAAAACATCAAAATTCTTGCAACAGGCTTACTGAGGTATTGCACTGTTTCAAAACTAGAGAAGATAATATCTGGCACCACTAGAATTAGATGGCTGACAAAGCATGACAAGCAAAAGTGTTGTTAAAAATCAACCATATCAAGTTGACTTTTTCTCATACTTCTGATAACTCAACAAATGCAAGAAGAATTTAATAAACCAACTGAAGAATTTGGAAGAAACAACATTAAATACAAAGGACTCTCGCTGTCACCGCAACAGATAGCGAGGGTACTGTGCGTTCGCTGCTGCCGTGCTCCCATCTCTCTACTCCTCCGATAGGCGAACCGGGCGAGCGGTCAGAGCAGGCAGTCAGCCCCCATGAAACGCACTATTTTTCTATAGCTGTTTCTCTCGCACACGACAGTTAGCGAGGCGACACTTAGCAAGAGTCCACTGTACTTAAAAAAATGAGAACATATTTTTACTATGCTTCTGGATCATTACTGACAATAAAATTTTATGTAGACTTCTATTTAAAAACAAGGTAGAATTCAATTTAACATTTATTGTACAGCCGTGGGAAAAAATGTTAGTGTGCTTCATAAGCAGCAATATGTATTTTCAAAAATGTAAAAAAAAAAAATTGATCTAGAATTGCAATTTTAAATGGTTTGATATATACAAAGATGGGCAAAAATTAGATTACAGTACAGTACAATGTGAAAAACATTACAAGCATAAAGTTCACATGACATGAGAGTGCTATAGAAAGCATAAAGACAAGCTCACTAGCATGTCACATACAACAAGTTGGTAGTGAGCAGCCAAGTAATATCACAGGGGAAAAACGTTTTCTACCAGAACATGTTGAATAGAATACAAGACAGAAGTCTTCAAAGATACTTAAAGAGGCATCAAAACCTAACAATTTGTACGGAATACCAAAATAAGGTAACATGCACTCAACCTCTAAAATTTACTAAAAACACTACATAACAAAACACAGTGATATAGAGTTGTCCGGATCTACAGTATGAAAAAAGAAGTATAATTACATGCCTCAGCAAAATTTCAGCTGAGTCCTGTTACTAAATGAGATTTTGAATAGTGAGACATACCAAGTCTAAAAACTATGAAAGATGTTAGGCAAAGCACAACAGATAGATAAAAAATTGCAAAGGGATCAAAGGAAGAGAGTAAAAGAAAACAAAAAGCCATGCAAAGCACATTTGGGCATTGATCTTGATGCCGATGCCTCATAAAACAAAATCAATAAAAAGATCTACAAGAAAGCAAAAGTATAATCATCATTAAAATGTAAGCATATACTGATAGCATAAAAATAATTATAAACACAGAATTTAAAATTTTTGCTGCTTCATTTCTTAAATTTAGGTACAATCAGCTGCATTGTCTCAAACACCATTACCAGAATATGAAGCCCACATAATAGAGGCAAAAATGATGGAATGAAAAAGTGATGAGCAGGGATCAATACACATGGAATTGGGAGGACAATTTATGAGACTCCAACACAAACTAACTGGTGGTACTTGTCAATAAACTATCATCATCATCCATTGCAGTCTTTAGAATTATGACTTGCCTCTACCATATGAAATTCGAAAAGGATCAAAATACTAAAAGAGAACAAGAGATAGAAAGAATGATAGTAAGGAAATGTGAGGCTGATGCATTCTTGTATCACCAGCTAAAAGACAGAATTGATAGTCACTACAGAACCCACAATGAAAACTACCAAATATAAATTAGGACTACAACTGTTATAATCCTTACCAATAACAAGGTATCAATATGAAGGAAAAACTAAACAGGTGCACTTAAATGCACCAGAGAGGCACTTGACAGTATGTACCATACAGGTACTGACAAAGGAAGGAAATTACCTTACATGAATCAGCCTCACCTCACAAAACTTAGGTATTTACCTCCATAGGGGCTGGGGTGACGAGCTTGTTATCTGTGACGCGAGTCACCACAGTTTCAGTGAAGGTACTTTTGGTGATGGTCTCGGTGACTTTGCCTAGAGTGGAGGGGGGCGGGGGGAACTGAAGGCTCATGTCAGAAGGTTGTTTGATGGTGACGGTGACAGTGGGGCCACTAGGCGCCTCCTCCTCACCACGGAAGCGAGCCGGAATCATGGCCTGGAAGTCTTCGCTTGTGATCGCTTTGGGGAGCTGCGGTAAAGTTAAAAGCTTAGCACAAGCACCATTTGTCCCAGGATATGAAATGGGAACTCAAGGTAGTAAGGAAACTTCAAAGGCAATAACAGACAAGAAACAGCAAAAATGTTTGTAACAATTGATAAATGAATGAACATATAATTAAAGCTTATTTAATCTATGAGAGCAGTGTTGATTTCCTTAATGCAACGGTGTTGTAACAAATAAATTGGTAAAAATAGCAGCTTAAGTCTAACTTCACCTATCTTAAGAGATATCTTCATTAATTTATATTTTAAGAAGATCAATGAGGGATGACTATTTGAGTATGCAAGGAAATAAAAGAAAACAAGAAAAAACAATGAAATATTTGTAACTGAAACTCTCATGAAGAGATCAGACCCAAAACCCACAGAGATTAAATTTGAAGGAGGTTCAATACAAAGAAGCAAAGATGACATTTTCAAAAAGAGAACACCACTAGATTAAGAGAACATGGGGAAAAGCGAGCAAAATCGCCATGAGCTGAGTATAGCAGCACTAGTAGATTTAAGACCTAGAAGAGTACTCAGCAGTGTTAACAGGATATAAAAAATGAAAAATGGACGAGGCTTTCATTCATTAACGGAGAATTAAACAAACTGAAAACGAGGGATAAAACAAACCTAAAGATTTTAAGGAATCTAGTTAGAAAGCAGGAAGATACAATTTTTAAAAAAACAAAAAAGGAATTTCTTCATACTTTTGTATAATTTTTAAAATGCACTACTTTACGCTGCACACAAACTCATGTCAACAAGCTGCTGCAGCACACCGAGCCCAAGTCCATGCACACACATTGTTGCATACCGCACAGCAGGAAAACAACTGTTACTCTCTTATTGCTAAGAATAATTAAGATAAGGTAATTGTGGTCTACATTAACCTGAGCAAAATTTACAGAAAGTGTAGCCAAAATAAGAGAAAAGGAGAAAACTTCTACTACTAAGAAAAATTTGAAGCCATAGTTGTCTTTCAAACACTGAAATGTTTCAGAGCTTGAAGCTTTCTCTGCTTGCGATGTGCAAAGGTTACTCAGAAAACTATTCTTACCTGTGGTGGTTCTCCAGATGTTGAATTACTGCTAGTAAGACGAGTACGAGGTGCTGGTCTTGGTGGCTCTACCCCATTGACTTTAGGTGATGGGGTTGGTATAGTTTCTGTAACTGACTTAGTTGGTACTGTTGATTTGGCAGTTGGTGTGATACTGGGAGGTGTGGGTGTAGTTGGGGTGGGAGTTGGAGATGTTAATCCAAATTTAACAGAAGAATTAACATCAGGGGAAGACACTGTTGACATATATCCTGGGCTTCCAGGAGAAGCTCTCCTGAAATAAAGAAAGCAGACATTTCAGCACATGTGGTGTTTGTCTTTCTTACTCAACCATGCTTTCCCATGGTGAGACAATGCATTTATCCGAACAGCAAGCTTTTAAAGTGATGAATTATACCTGAAACCTGGCCGATTTGCCATGTAACTGTTAGCGGTATACAGGCCTGTATATGGTTTGGGTCCACCAAAGATATGAGGACTCTTTTCAGCAGGTGAGGGTGAAGGCGTCTGGCCTTTACTAACAAGCACCTCTCTTTCTCCAACGAGTCGCACAAATCTCTCTAATCCTGTCAGCATGGCTACAGCCTGATCATGTCTAGCTCCACTAAGATCTACACCATTTATGGAAATAATACGGTCACCAACAAGAAGCTTTCCATCTTTTTCAGCAACACCTCCCTCAGTAATTCTTGAGATATAAATAGACTGGAAACATACAATAAAAGTAAGACATACTTCAATCTCAAAAATGTAATGGACATCAAAATAATAAATGAAACCTACATCAGGATTTCCATCAGATCTAAATGGAGGGCAACCCTTTCCACCAGCGATACTGAATCCAAGGCCATTACAATCTCGTATGAGGGTAGTACACACCATTACCTTACGAACTTCGGTATCGTTTCCCATTCCCTTTAAGGGCTCTGGAATACGCTTCACCTGAAATGCGATGTTTTGTTTAATTACACAAGAAAGAACAGAACCAAAACAGAACACTTTATCTGTTTTCAAATCCAAATCTTACCTTATTTGTAACCTCAGCGTATACTTCATCTCCTTGACCATTTTCTATGGCCCTTACCTTCTCTGGTCCAGCCACATTTCCTGTACTTTCAAATCCAGAAGTAAGAATAGACTGATGGGATGTGGCACTAGTGGCCCGGCTTGTTCCGAGGCTGGAACATGCCGAGTCACCAGGACGGAACACAGGTGTTGATGCAGGAGAGGAGGAAGATGTTCCATGAGTCTGTATGGGTCAAGAATTTGTTTATAAAGATGTCCATTGTAATTTATTTACTTTGACTATACTACAAAAACCACACATTTACCTTTGCAACAATTCTTGTAACTTCTCTTGCAACAACTAAATCTAGAGTGCCACCAGCAGCTTTCAATGCCTCAACAGCAGTCCAGTGATCCGTCCCAACTAGTAACTTGCCATTTACTGCCAATACCTTGTCACCAACCTGTGTTTACAAGATATACATTAGTGGGATTGATTTTAAATTGTATCAAGTTAAAATAGTTGAAAGTGAAATGTACTCTTACCCGAAGCCCTGCTAAATCAGCAGGTCCACCTTCAGTGACTCTTGAAATAAAGATCCCTTCATCATCTCCTTTGAAGGGCGTTGAACCAAGGCCACCAGCGATGGAGAGGCCAAGCCCAGCAGAAGTTCGTTCAATGTGAATGTTATATTGCTCCTCTCTTACTTCTACAGACTGCACAATATCTAAAACAGGAAAAACGAGCAGTGGTGGAGAAGACTTCATAAAACAAACACTCAATTCAAACAGGGGGCTGTAGAAACTATCTAGTAAATCAAACTTACACCTTTTAGGTATGCGGACACTTTTCCTACCCGTCATTATTTCTAATCTTTTGTAATTCAGAACCTATACTTCCTGAGACACTTGTGCCTTTAAAAATGACTCTAACCTCAAAAATTAGTCTCAAAACAAATAATTAAGGGGCAAAATACAGTCACATCATAAATATGAACAGGGAAATGACACATGTGCCATATTTATAGAATGACGTTAAGACAAGCTTATTATATTTTCGACAATCTCAGAAAGCAAAACTCAACTGAGGGATGAACACCTAGTGTAGTAAGCCTTATCAGCAAAGGTGTGATACTAGGAGTACTGCTGGGGGTGGGGGGAGATAGCAGAGAGGGACAAACACAGTACCCAATGACTGCTGATGTAGCCTTACCTGAGGGCTGCACGTATTGAGTACTGCCAGAATCCACAGTTTCTCCATCATTCTTCTTTGTCAGTGCCTGTTGAACAGAGTTAAATGTTCATACAGGCTCAACTTTCATGAATTGCACAATGAGATGTAAGTGTCCCATCTGCCATCATACAAAGCACTGTATTGTACAGAAATAGTATGACCATGACAATTAATAAATAATGACAAGAAAAGAAAAAAATGTATATCCACTAAAATTAATATCTTTACATTAAAAATATTAACATGCTGCATTCCACGATAATGTCATTAAGCAATAAAACCCACTTCCATTAAATTAACCATAAAAAGGCAGAATGTCCAAAAACAGGAAGAATAAGATACCTGAGCTATGATAGATGCAACCTTATCTTGATCAAGGGTTTGTGAGTTGATGCGCTTATTCTTCAGATGATGTGGAGTGTCTCTTCGATGTAGGCGATTCGGCCTTGTCCCTTCGCCCTCCACCACACCCTCAAACCCAACATGCCTCTCCCCTTCCTGTGACAAGAGCCATAAACTACAGCTGGAGACCAAAATAATTTAGGAAGTAGACTTGCATTTCTACAAGTATTTGTAACATATTGGATTGATATTTTTAGGAAGTTACCAAATGGGGCAATAATAGTAGTACTATTAATAGATAATAATAATATTAGATAGATAATCTTTTGATATCTGACTTAATATTTTGGAAAATATCCCAAAGCCCACATGGTAGTGTCAGTAAGCCACCAGCACAGTTATAAATTTCATGCATTGATTCTTTTGGTAAGAATTGCCTCTTTTGACCATAACCATAGCATGCAGTGTATCAAATAGTGTACACAACAGGTACAGTAATGTTTAATCACAAGAAAAGCAAGGTAATGATTAATTGATCTTACCTGATCAGATTCTGGATCTTCATTTTCATCTAACAGGTCATCTTCACTCTCTTCTTCAGGCTCACCCTGAAAAATAATTTCACCTATGATTAACTTTTTCAAAAATGCGGAATTTTAAAATTCAGATTTGGTGCACAAGTAAAAGACTCCTAACATGAATGAAAGAAGACATCAATACAGGAGCAAACAGAGACACACTGGTCAGGACAGCAGCTACCAAGGGACTGGGGCAGGAACAAGTGAGTCTTCAAGTGCCTGATGAGAATTAACACTGTTCTGTCCCATTAAGTGGGGGCTGCCCACCCACATTTGTTATGGTGCACTCACTTGTGACCTTCACCTAATGGACCTTATACAACTGTTATTGAAGCCAACTTGACTTGGATCAGAATCGAATGGATCCGGGGGATGATTCACCTGCCCATTTCTATGATTAGACTGTACTGCTTGCAAGCGGGGCGTTTATTCCACATTTTACTTTTCTTTGGAATCGCGCGACCCTCACTGATGAGCTGATGGCTTGCAGGAGCCCCTTTATCTATCATGTTTACAATGCCTCAGGAACCCAGGCGACCTTTTAGTCTGGAAGCAGCTGAGGATTACGTCAGGAGGAATTAGCCCTTTTAGGGTGGTAATGGTGACACTAGGCAGGAAAACAAAACCCACTCGCATACGTGCGTGCGATACAGCATAAAACGATTGTGGACGGCGCAAATCAGTTACTTGATACGCTTAGAAGCAAAATTGGTTATAGGGTGTAAATATACTGAGTAGTCTTAATAAGAGCCTATAGTAGCAACCAGTTAAGAATAGTTTTTTTTGTTTGTTTTTTTAAATTATTATTAGTTAGAATAAGAGCACTACTTTGCTAGAGTACACTTACATCTTGACTATTAACAGCATTCCCTCTTGGAACTTCATCAGAGTGGTTACTATGGTCACTAATTGCTTCATCTTCTTTAGATTCCTCCTAAATAAGACAGAAAGTTAGTAGAGCAGATATGCAATGATTTCCAATTCAGTGGTAATCTTGCCAAGATTTTGTTGTTGTTGTAAATACACATTTACTAACTTTGTGCACAGGTGCCTCAGCAGGCTGAGGATCAACATCATCTACTTCCTTGGTATCAGGACTCTTGCCACCTTTCCCAAATAATTTGTGAGCCTTAGCCTTTAGCTCTCGGGGATGGGGTGTATTTTGTCGTACAAATGGTGTCTGGTTGACAAACATTTAAATTCAGCCACAAAAAAAATAATAATACAAAAACAAAAACAACAACACAGTATTAGTAGAGAGAACTTACCTCTTTGTCCTGTTCGTTCGAGTTTAAATCGTCCGTGAACTTAACAGAATGAGTGCGTGATGCCTCCCTTTCTTCCCAACCTTCATCATCTGATTCGTCAGTCTTCTGGATTTCTGAGAGTGATACAGAAGAGAAGCCTTCTCTATCATAAATGCTGCTCACTGTTTACGCACACAAAAAAAAAGCAACATGCACAAAAAACGCAAAATAAAAGAGAATAGCAAACAAAAATGATAAGGCCTAAATACAGTAAGTAAAAAATGACACTTTTTTGCAAACTCAGGAAATAATAAAAAAATAAGAAGAATTAAACCAGGCATTGAAAGCAAATGAAAACTTTTCAATATAAAACAGACAGTACGTTGAAACAGAGATATTACAAGTTTGCGTACCTTGGTTGTGATCAGGGTGGTACTCCAATTGTGGTAAAAGAAAGCATGTGAGAACTTGTTCTCCCGTTGTCTCGTCAATATCTGTCTGGAATTTAAGTAAAGGCTGCGCTTGGTTCTCAGACAACCAGACTGCTTTCAAGTTTAAGTTTGCCAAAGACATTGGCAAATATTGTAACCTAATAAATTAATGATAATTAAAATACACATACCAAAATAAGGATGATGTTTTTAAAGGACACAAAAATATTGTTTTACCTGTTTCCAGACACATCCAAAACATGTAAAAGTTTACAATTGCCCAACTGAGAGGGCAGATATTGTAATTTGTTGTCTCTTAAAGATAGAACTCCCAAATTCTCTAATTTTCCAATTTCTGGTGGAAGGGTTCTCAGACTATTTCGATCAACATTCAAATTTGTCATTTTTACTAAAAAGCCCATAGTTGAGGGTACTTCCATTAAAAAGTTTTCTGTTAAAATAAGTTCTTGTAGACTTATACATCTGTGTAGGGTAAGATAGAAAATTCCAGATGAGCTGTACAAAACTAAATAAAAGGTAATGAAAATCTACTGAACCAAATCAGAGCACTAACCTTCCAATGTTAACATTGAGAGCAATAAGTCTATTTTGATCAATTTTAAGAATGGTAAGCTTTTCTAAAGCTCCGATTCCATCTGGAAGTGTTTCAATATTGTTCTGTGATAAATGTAAGTCAGTGAGGGAAACTAATCCTGAAATTTCGTCTGGTAAATCTTCGAGACGATTTTCTGACACATCAAGACAAGCTAATTTCTTCAAGTGGCCAATTTCTGACGGAAGGTGTTGTAATTCATTGTGATCTAACCAAAGTTCTTGAAGAGCTGGAAGTTTACCAATATGACGAGGCTAAAAGAAATAAAGTTGTAATATTAGTATAGAGATAGAATTTTTGTTCTAAGAGTAGGCAATGAAACACTGCTTACCAATTCTCCAATTTTGTTATCCCCTAAGTCTAGCCGCTCAAGTTTTGAGAGTTGTGATAAGGATTCGGGAAGAAATTCTAGTACATTTTCTCGTAATTCTAATGATTGAAGACTGACAAGACACCCAAAGTCAGAGGGCAGTGAACTAAGAGACATGTCATTAAGCCCTAAAACTGTTAAGTTACGGAGTTGGACAAAGCCCTGGGGTAATCTGTGGATTGGGTTACTGCTGAAATCCGCCACCTGTAGTTCGCGCAAGTTCTTGATATTCTCCGGAATGTCAGGAATGTCTGAAACAGAGAAAATATATTTACTACTAAACAGAGAACCCCACAACACAGGGCGGTAAAAAGCCGTCAACGAGATGCGGAGCAGGAGGAGGGGATTGAGTTAAATCTCAGGCTTGCGAAGCGCGGTTTTAATGTTGTTTTTTTGTTTTGTTATTTTTCTCTTTTTGATTATTTTTTTTTTTGGGGGGGGGGGGGGGCGCGGCTTATAGTCCCTCTATGTCCCCCCTGTCATCGCTAGACAGCGGCCTGAGAGGTACGCAATTCGCGATAAAACCCCTGTGCGTAGGTAACCCACAGCACACCCCTGTCAGCTGTAACCGCGCCTTCGGCTCGCTCGGCACTTCTGCTTCCCTCAGGCTATTGCAAAGTCAGGAGGGCGCAGCGTCGGGATCTACGAAATCAACGCCAGGGTAGAGAGTAGGATGTGGCCTCTAGGCCGGCCGGGCCGGCGGACGTCCTCGCCGTCGCCGGCCCGCGGAGGCCGATCCGCTGTTGCGACCAAGTTGCAGCGCAGACCACCCTCCTCTCACGCGCGGGTCGCCACAGAGACCCTCTAGCGTCTCCAGGATGGGCGGGGCGGGATCTCCTCCTTGAGGACCTGTGAACAGGCCGCTTTGGCCGACGGGCCGACTTGGCGCCGCTCCTCGCTCCTTGCTCGCCGCGCCAAGCGCTCGCTTCATGAGAGACGCCGCCAGGGGCCGTGCCGAGCTTGACCCGCTCTGGTCGCAAGCGAGGTGAATGTCCGCGGCCACCCGCGGGCCCGCCGCGCCGCGCCCCGCCCCGCCCCAGTGCGTTGGCGCGGGTTGGCGCAGCACCGCAGCTCGGCTCGGCTCTCCAACGGCCTGCTTGGGGCTCAGGACGGCTCAGGCCGCTCGGGCTCGACTTGACGCGTTGGGTCGGGCGCGGAGCGTGGCGTGGCGTGGCTAAGGCGTAGCGGGACGCGGCCGATGACCATTACAGCATGCACGGCCTGAACCCTCTGCTGCGGTGTAGCGGGCAGCCCCCCGCCACGCCGCGCGCTAGTAGAACCGGTCCGGTGCAATGGTTGCACTTGGCACTCACACCTTGGCCTTCACTTTGAGCCCAGCCCCGCCCCACCCCACAGGCAAGCCCACCGCCCCGCCCACGCCGCGCCCTACCGCACCGACTGGAGCCCCCCCCCCCCCCCCCCCCCCCCCCCCCCCCCCCCCCCCCCCCCCCCCCGGGGTCGGGACTGCATTCCACTCCCAGTATGGCATAGGCGGGTTGGTACACCACGCGGCCGCACGCAGCTCATGGACGACTTCGGTGCGGACAAATGACACGAACGCAGCCGAGGGCCCGCGAGTGGGAGCGACGGACTCGTCGGAGGAGCGCCCGAACCAAGCAAACAGAGCAACCACCTCACACCCCTTTCGCCTCCACACACTGCTAGAGTCGCCTGCCTTTAATTAGATCCGGAAATTTGGACTGACCGTCTGGCAGAGATGAGAGAGGAGAGTCTATTGGAGACTAAAAGATCGCCCTGCCGCTTGCAGGCAGTGTATCAGGAGCAGGATCCATTGTTCCGTTGTGTGGCAGCGATGTGTTTGATGAGAGTGGGGGTATTGAAAATATTAAAGAATTGGGAATAGAATAGCTAGGTTCCATACAAAACATGTCCCCCAACCTTTGCCCATTCATTATTTTTGTCTTCAAAAGCGCGTTTTTCAATTTGTAAGCGAGAATTGTTAACGTTGGTATTCCCCCCGCCAGGTGTGGCGGTGGCGTGGGGACAGGCCCTCTTTCCGGTCCGGTCGGTCCAGCCCGCCCGCTAGTTCGGAAGTGAAAAAGGGGGGGGGGGGCGCCAGGCGTCCCTATCAGAGCGACCAATGACTGGGACAGGAAAAGGGCACTATGAGCGAAGGACGACGTTGCCACGCTATTCTCTCCGGTGAGGCGAGGCGTTTGTCCCAAGTGCAGACTGGCTGACGCGAGCTGACGCGAGCTGACGCGTCCGCTAAGAGCGGCACAACGACGCGGGGGCGTGGCGCGCCTGTGACACACGTGGTCCGGGTCCACGGCTGAGCTGGCAAACAGTGGCAAGCAAAGGGGCGGACCAGCTCACATCACAAAAGCCAGGCCCAGCAGCAGCCCAACCCGGGGAATGGCAAATCAACTAACTGGCCGAGGTGTGGTGCTCCAACGGGACCTAGCCACGCAGTGCAGACCGGCAGCCACCCCCGTTGCCGTTGGGAACCAGGAACCGGCCGGGCCTCGTGGTGCCCCTGCTCTCCAACATTCACACAGGCATTGAGCGGGCGGCGCTCGGCTCGCACACCCACACACGCGCAGGCGCACAGGCGCCGGCTGTATGGGTACGAACTGCGAACCTCCCGCCAGCGCGCGCCAGCGGCAGAGGCAGCGTTTAGCGGCGCACGGTACCGTGTTAATAATACAAATTCTAATTAAAACGCCACGCTGCCCGGGGCCGCTCAGCACCGCTCAGCACCGCTCAGCGCACGGCGCGCAGAAGGGGGAAAGGGGGAGAGGCTGAGCTCCAGCGAGATCACTCTCGAGCAGCAGAGACGTGTGTCGGGGGCCGGGCCAAGCGTGGTCGTGCTATGGTCCACGTCCGCGACACGATGCGTGTTGTGTTGTGTTGTTCGCGGACACGGCAACTTTGATTGGGGCCGCACCTGTGCTGTGGGGATCGTCAGGGGAAATTGGCGGGAGCGCCTCCTAACTGACACACCACAAACAGGGGCAGAAAATGGAAACCGCACTCCATCCAATCGCTTCCGCCAATAGCGCTTCTATCACGGGCGGATGGCGTTTATACGAGAGTGAGATTGGGCTGAAGAGGGGGAAGGGGGGAGAAAACAGGTGGAGAAGAAAGGCGGAGGAGGGAGGGAGGGGGGGATTCCAAAACGACGACTGGACCAAACGCCGCACGCCAACGCCACCCACGGCGCACACGGGACTGGACTCCGTGACACGACCGCCTCCAAGCTAAAGCGGCCTTCTCGTTCTCTCTCTCTCTCTCTCTCGCTCACACTTGCGCTAGTCATTCTTCATCCCTGTCGCCTGGCCAAAGGGGAGAGGAGGGGGGGGGTTAAGGCTGTGGCTGGGAGCGAGAGGGAGGGTTGGGGGTAGAGAGAGAGAGAGAGAAAGCCTTTCACCGGCAAGCACTCACATACAGCACATATGCGAAGTGGCGCGGCGTGGCGCAGCGGGGGCGGCAGCAGCGTACGACTATTCACAAACAACACACAGGCCCAATTCGGAACGCGGCGCAGCAGCCCTCGGCAGCGCTTTACACTTCTCTCTACTCCCCCACAAAACTTTTCTCTTTCACTCTCCCCACCTG